AGATAGATAGATAGATAGATAGATAGATAGATAGATAGATAGATAGAAAGATAGATAGAAAGATAGACTATGAGCAGTATATTCTATAAACTCTAAAATATATAAAAAAGGTCAGATTTCTCTGTGTTCCACCCTCAGTTACTCTGAAACAATGACAGCTGATGTGATACTTCAAACTTCAATAAATTCTCACATGTCTCTTTACCTTGCTCCCCAGATGCTCAGCACAGACATAGCAGTTAAATAGAAATACTGGATCAGGTTTGGGTGTCATTTACGAGCAGAAGCCTCAGAAAAAGCCCCGGGGCTTCACAAATTAAGGCCGTCACTTAGCTTCAGAGTAACCGATTCAAGTAAAGAGTCTTTCATGAGTGTTATGGCATTTTACATTTTTAATCAGCATTTCGAAACCACCCGTGAGCCTTCATAAGTGGGAGGAGGGGGGGAACTGACCCTGGCAGTGGGTGCCATCATTGGGGATGAAGACGGGCATGCTGTTTGATGGGCTGTATCCGGCCAGGCAGGTGCAGAAGTAGCTGCCGTAGGTGTTGTGGCACATCGTGTGCTGCCCACAGATCTTATTTGCTCCTATCTGGCACTCATCTTTGTCTGGAGAATAAAATAGAAGGAAGGAAACAGGAAAGATCAAACCTTTCTGTATTTCGATCCCTCGTGATCGGTTTGTTCATTCGTTTTGTCAGCTCAGGATAGTTCCATGTGTCGTCTTTGGCATCTTTATGTGAGGAGAAAATACTCACTGAAGCCCTATTTTGTGTGTTTAATTTTACTTTGCCTTTTCGTTGCAGGTTTTTTTTCGTGATTCATTGATTCCCCTGTCCCCCCACCCTCGTGTATTATTTCTAATGATCATTGTGAATGCTTTTGTCCTTTGAATAAACCTCTTTTAGTTAAATGCTTTTTGATTTGTGCACTTCAATACTCTGTTGAGTCAAAGGTGGTTTTACAGGAATAAAAAAAAATCTTATACCAATGATGGGTTAGTATCTTTTTTAAATAAGGTGGCATTTATCCCCTAAATGAGCTTCATTGGTACTTCCCAGAATAACTTAAAGTAGGAGCTCTTTAGCCCAAATCAAATTGCTTTAATTCTTAATTTGGGGAGAAAGAAGGAATCTTGATTAACTGAAAAACCCTGACAGAATATCAATATAAAATGGACCCAATAAATCTACAAAAACTACATTAAACCATCACAAAGATTATATAAAACCACCAAAAAGCAACCATAGAAAGACATAAAATAACCACAAAGAGTTCAAAATGATACCGGAAACACACAAAATTAACACAAGAAGATAAAAAGTGCTCAAAAAGATATCAATAAGACACAAAACTAGCAAAAATTAACACAATAAATCTACAGAAAGACATAAAACTGTCACAAAGAAGGGACCACAAAGAGCATGAAGAGGGACTACAAAGAGGCCCAAATGAATGAATCATAGATGGTGAATCCTGCGTCTCTTTCTGCTCAATAAATGTTGATAATCAGGATTTTGTGCTTTATAGATCTCCTAAACTGGAGCTGTTTGTTTGTTTCCAGCTGGTTTTATGAGGTTAATGCAGACATTAGCAGCAAAGCAAGAGAAGAGTTTTTAGATAAGTTTAAGGTTATTCTGAGATGAAAAGGAGTGTTTAGCTGCTTCTCTTTGGGATTTAACTAATAAATAACTCTGATAGTATTAGTTATATATAAAAAAAAACATTTTATTGTTTTCCAAAGGATTGTTTCATTAAAAGAGTAATTATCTATGTAAGTTATATTTTTTATATGAGGTCTGAGGTGTAAAACAGTGAGTGATGTCTATCAGGGCTCTTTTTCTTCACAGGTAAATCAACTTTGTTTCCGGGTACTCGCATGAGTAAAAGCAGAGTGTTTTCCCACCTTGGCAGAAGGTTCTTCCGTTTCCGACGAAGCCGTACTTGCAGTTGCAGACTTTGCCCGACCCGTCCGGTTTGTCCTCACAGGTGGCGTTGGCGTGGCAACTGGCGCACACGTCCAGCACGATCTGGCCTTCCGCCTCCAGAGCTGAGGAGCAGGAGTCACAGCGGTCAGCTGAGGCACAAAATGACCCGCCAGAAAACCCGGGAACCTTCTCACCTGACAGCACGAGGAGCAGCGAAACCATGACGACGCCTCCGGTTCTGCCTCCCATCCTCCTTCAGAGTCTGACTCAGAGTCTTCACCTCCTCATCCCCTCTCCTGCTATTTTTACTCCTTCCCTCTGGTCTGGTGGACGTCTGGCAGGCTGATAAACCCTTAGGGGCAAGCGGGTGAGCTGAGGTTACCCCCAGAGTGCCGTTTTTCCTCAATGGCCTTCCTGCCACTGCCTCTGTGGTTTGGTCTGCTGCTGGTTGGTCTGACGAGGCCCGGGCAAACCGCACGCTCACGCCGTCCAGGCTGATAAAGGGCTAAATTTAACCAAACCAAACTGCTGGACGTCTGCTCTCGGAGATAGCCGAAGGTGTTCCCGGGCCTTATCACTCCGTAACATCATGCGATTGAGCTCAAATTAGTTTTGGTCGTGTTTTCCTTTCTCTCTTACCTCCTAACTGCGTCATTTTGTGGAAGTATCTTAGTTTTTGTCTGTTTAGATTTTGTCTTAGCTGCTTGTTGAGGAGCAGAAAACACCAACTCACAGTAAAGAGGCACAGCCAGCCTACTGTTTGGTGACAGCTCCACTAGTCTAGCGTTTTAATCCACAGTTTCACCAACATCCTTCCTTTTCTGCCACAGGGTCTGCAGTGGGTGTCGAGGAGGGGGGGGGGGGGGGGGGGGGGGGGGGGGGGGGGGGGGCTGAGCGGTCCAGCTGTGGGAGGGGGAGATAAGTCTGGAGAGCTGCTATCTCCCCGTCCAGCAGGGTCCTCACTGGGGTTTTGCTGCCACTCAAATGAGCCAGATAGCGTCTGAGAGCAGTTTCTGCCTCACTGGAGTCATCAAGAGCCCCCCTCAGAAAAGCCCGCCCCCTCCCACCCCCCCTTAGACTGCCATTTCCAAACCAGAGTTCTGGTGCAAACTCACATCTGGAAAGACAGCATTTGTTAAACCCTTTTTAGACTGTTGTTTCCTTTTTGTTTTATTTGATGGAAGTATTTGATTGATAAGTACTACCACTGCTCTCTGTTACTGTCACCTCAGCTATTAATGACGTTTTATGGGATGTTTAAATTGCCTAAATGGGGAGTGTGGTGGCTGCTGTGTCTAAAACTTTGGCCGGCCGTCTTTGTGTCTGTAAAAACAGTTGGAAAATGTCAAAAAAAGGAACATCCGGAGCAAATTCTGGGCGTCAGACACATCAGCTGCTTTACGGGACGGAGAGGCTTAGATAAAAGGACACAGGTCATTTTGGAAAAATGTCGGTTTTATTCATCCATTAAAAAGAATGAGAAACACTGTAAAAAAAGATGTCAAAGGTCAAATGCAGGTCAATTGACTCGAAAGCATTTTACAAAAAATTTAAAGGAGTCATCAGACCAGTCGTGCAGGAAAAGAGTGCTGAGAAATAATCTGATAACAAACTCAACTATCAGTTAGTTTAACCCGTCAAAGTCCCACTTCAGTGTGTCGGGGTTAGACACACGTTGTGGGGGGGGGCAGGTTGTGCTCGTTTGAGACAGTTTAAAAATGAGAATCTCTTAATTTGTTAGCACCAGATCCTCTGTGGTCATCACAAAGTCTTTGAAAACGATCGGCTTTTACAGGAAAACTGATTCAGGAATGTGTAACCCCCCCCCCACACACACACACACAAAAACACACTCGCACACACAAAAACACACATACACTTTGTGAAAATACTCCAAATAGTTTGGAAAGGGGCTTTTAGGCCCTTGTCGTGTTGATACACACCAATGCTTAAAAACTTTGATACTGAGGACCAGATTTGAATTCATCCTGATATAAGCCTCAAAGTTATTCTACCTCCCTTTTCATGTAACTGTACACTTAATTTTGATGCCAAATAAAACGTTTTTACCTTTTTTGTCTGAGGAACAATCCAAAAGTTTCAACCAAATTCTTGCCTCGTTATTTAACCTCCCAGTTCTCCTTTCCCTCTTGTTGGATGTTCGAACTAAAGCAGCTTTCTGACCTTTGACCCTCCTCAGTATAAAAAAATCTGCATCAGAAAAAGATGAATTGATTGTGATTTTGTCTGCGTGGGTTCTCTCCGGGTTCTCCGGCTTCCTCCTACCATCCAAAAGCCTGCATGTTAGGTTCTTTGTCCTTGTTTGTCTCTGTGTGGCCCTGCGACGGACGGGGGGACCGTCCAGGGTGACCTCGCCTCTCGCCCATTGACCAGTGGGATAGGCTCCAGTCCCCCCGCGACCCCATCAGGGAATAAACGGTTACCATAACGGATGGATGGATGGATTGTGATTTCCGATTCTGAGAAGGGTCAGAAGCAGCTTCCTAACCTCTGACCCTCCTGGTGGTCAGAAAAGAGCACAGAAACAGCAGCGTTTCTCCTGGGGGGCGGGCTCGCCCTCCCCCTCTGCTCTGGGAGGCTCCTGGGCCGAGGACCCGCCCCCGCCCTCGGACAGCGAGCCGCTGGACGTGGACAGCAGCCTCCCGCACACCAGCTCGGCCGCCTTCCCGTCCACGGCCGACAGGTCGGTCACCGTCTTCTCCCTCAGCGACATGTCCCCGTCCTCGTCGTCGTCGATCAGCACAAAGTCCCGCAGGTAGAAGGTGCCCCCCCCCCCGGGGGCCGCCGCGGCTGTCCTCCGACTCCTGCGTGGTGTTGGCGTCCACGAAGGTCAGCGTGGAGGTCTCCGTGAGGCTCTCGGGGGGGTCTGTGGAGTCGTCCTCCGGGCCCGACCCGGCCTGGCTGCTGGGGGGGCGGCCCGCGGCCCCCCCGGGGCCCCTGTGGACCGCCTCGTTTCTCAGCTCCAGCCTCTGCTGCAGCCGGCCGGAGGCGACGCCCGGACCCGACTGGCCCCGGTGAGGTCCAGGACACGCCATGAAAGCCGCCCTCTGGGTGTCATGGCAGAGCCGCACGCCTGTGCTCCCGTTTGGGGGGGGGGAGTGGATGCTAGAGGCGCCGCCTCCCTGTGGCACGTTCATGTATTTCTGCTGTACAAGCTGAAACAGAAAAGGAAAGGAGGGGTTTGGTTTTGAACTGTGAGTGAGATGCCATCAATACAGACAGAGTGGTACAAAAACAGCCTATTGTGACACACCAGTTCCTTCCTTTGGACCCAAATCTGTGAGTAAACTCCAATTTCTTTACTTGCTGGTTTTAACGCAGCCAGGCTTTCTGGTGGAAGCCGCAGTTCTGCAGGATTTCTGAAGGTTTTTCTCTGGAGGTCTTCTGCTTTTTCACCCTGTCCAGTTTCTGATCCTGATCATTTTCTGAGAAATGCAGTTCTTGCTGTTCGGGCTTAAAACTAAATATGAATCATTCAAGCAGAAAAACAAGTAACTCCAGCAAGCTGCTAGCTGAAAACCTGCCATATCTTAACATAGTGTGCAGTGTGTCCATAAAACATTTGAGGAAACTGGACAAGTAGAGGACAATCAGAAGAAGAGTTGGGCCTAAAAAACGATCTCCAGCAGATGAAGAGGATCTGAAAGTGAGGTCCTTAAGAAAGAGGAACAAATCCAGCAAAGACCTGAACCAGGAGCTGAGATATGCATCTGGACCTTCAGCTGGTCATCTCCTGTTGGACCAAGCCTCATCAGAAATGCTCTCCATGGAAGGGGGGCTGTGAAGAAGCCATTCTGAAGGAAGGGGAAGAGGGAGGAAAGGCTCAGCTCTGCCAAAGGACTCAAGAAGTGGACTGAAAATCAGTGGCAGCAGTTCTGATTGAGGGATGAATCCTCCCCAGAGCCCGGAGCTCCACATTATGAAGCAGTGTGGGATCATCTGACAGAGAACGGAGCCAAAGGCAGCCCACATCCAAAGAAGAGCTTTGGGAAGTCCTTCAAGAAGCCTGGAGAGCTGCTCCTGAAGACTCCTTAAAGGAAGTACACATAGCTGCTTGGAGAGGGCTCAGAGATGGAGGAGAAAGGAGCTCAGAGCAAAAACCGACTTTCAATCCGGTTTGAATTGAACAAACGCGGCTCAAGCTTCAGCCTTGTTGTGGCTCAGTACAGCGTTTGTCTAATATAAGAAATATTAAAAAAATCACACTGAATCATCTCTCATCTCCCTGAGGTGGACCGAGCTGTCCGGGATGGGACCCAGATGGGAGAGAAAACGGATGATAGGACAATCTGAGCTGATCAGGATCAGGAACCGTCCAACTGTGTAACCAGCGCGCCATTTTAGACCTAAAAATGTAACCAAAAGCACTATTTTCCATCCAAACTTCCCAAACCTGGAAAACACTGGAATTTGTCCCATTATCTTTAATGTCTTCACAAAAAAGATCTCCACAGCTTTATTATGCTGCTGTGGCTCTGGATGCAGACATTAAGACATAAAGCCTGTAAAAAGTGCTGCTCAGTGGAGTTCTGAGCAGAAAAATGGACCTCTGTGAATAAATAAAAACCAGGCTGAAAATAACTTGGGCTCCCGCAGGCTTTCTTTGAAGATAGAGACAGATGAATTCCTCTTAAGTGCTGGAACCAAACAGGGAAGGAAAGTGTGGATTTCATCCCTCCCCCACTCAGAAAGATCTTAGTGAAAAGAGGAGGGCTGCGCTCTCCAGAGGTCGAACATCAGGATTGTTGAGCTGCATTCCACGTATTTCTTAAATGTTTCATTGGAGTCATTTTGAAGAGGCCAAAGCAGGTGATTTTTTCCAGTTTTACGAACTCACGAACGCAACTCCGTTACACCTCACTGGCTTTAAAGTCTGACAGAATCAGGACAATATGAATGAATCATGTCCCCGCACATGTAAACACGCCCCACTCTAGTCTGGGACGGCTTCAAAGCACCAGCAAATAAAAGATATATCTCTTTAACAAAAAAAAGGGGAAAAAGCATTTAATTTGAAAGAAGCTCTTGAGCTGCTTTAACCCAGCAGAAAGGCACAGGACAATATGTTTGATTTAAAACCTGTTTAACTGCTTTGTTCACACATATTAATCACAAAGAAGATCCTAATGATAGGATCAGGTCCCCTATCTGCTGCATTGAGGGGTCACAAGAGCAGATAAAGTGTCAGAATTTCCATAAATAAATAGTTTAAATGAAATATTTAAGGAGTGCCTTTACCTGGAGCCTTCCCGGGTCAGAGATGAGATGGCTGAGGCGGCCAGCTTCCCTCTGAGCCGCCGTAAACTGGCTTTCCGTCTGGCGGACGTCTGCAGACACGCCCTCCCCTCGTCTCACAAACTCCAGCCGGCAGGAGGCCAATCAGAGCCGGCGCCGAACGCCGGGCCTCCGTTTGGTCCTGGGGCAGCTTTTTCTCAACTTTCCACAAACTCAGAGCAAAAGGAGACGAGGAGGTACGATTCAAACAGATCCGAGAATGAATGGGCAGAGAAGTCTTCTTTGTTTCCTTTTTTTTAAATCCAATATTTTTGTTTGACATTGTAACAAAAAAGCAAAAAAAGGATTTTTTCAAATAAAATGTGACTAATGTTTTCTTTATCGTTAAACTAAAACATTTAAAAAAGGAATGATTCTATTCAGAAGGACTCTTTAAAACAAAGTTTGAACTAAAAGCTGATGCAGCAGGTCCCAAAATCTGTGTGTATAGTACGAGCTGCATGGTATTAAAGGGTTAAAAAAGCAGCTGAGCCAGTCAGAAAAACGGGTTTACCCTTTTTGAGTATGCGTGTAGGCTTTGTTTCTGCAGCCTGCTTCACAAGACCTCCATTACAGAGGGTACTTATTCATAATTAAGCATAAGGTGGAGAAACTAGGAAGACAAGCTGAGCCAATCCATTCAAAAAGCAGTAAAACGACCAACAAACATTTAAATAAACCACGAACTCTCGGGTGAGAAATCATTCAATCCAGAGAAAAAACATGGAGACAGGAAAACGATTTGAAAAGCTGCCTTTTGTATTCACAGCTCAGTGAAAACCACCATCCTGATTAACAAAACAACCCTTTCTCCACTTAAAGGTAAAGAAGGCGATTCCTTGCCTTTGTTTTTGAGATGCTTCCCGTGAAGCATGAAGAGTGACCTCTCTCAGTGCCATGCTCTGGATGTGTTCCCATAAATAATACAGGAGGACAGACCTTCATACATGTCGGCTGCAAAGTGAAACATCACAAAGATCAAATATTAAAAAGTCTTCTCTTGCTTTGCTGCTGATGTCTGCATCGACCTCATAAAACCGTCCGGAGACAAAGAACTCCAGTTTAAGAGATCTATAAAGCACTAAATCCTGATTATCAACATTTATTGAGCAAAAAGAAAGGCAGGATTCACCATGTATGATTCATTCATGTGAGAATGAAGCAAGAAATCATTTTTAGTTTTAGAGATAACTAAAAATACCAGAGTTATTTCTGTTATTTCTCAAAGAGAAGCAGCTAAAGGCTCCCTTTTCCTCTCAGAATCAGCCTAAACTTCATCTCTTTGCTCTTGATAACAGCTTCCATTCTTCCTCTGGTTGTTTTTCTCTCCTTTCTGACAGTTTCTCTTGTTATTAAGTCCCACAGAATTTCCAGCTGCTCCTGCAGACTTGCTCTGGATGAAACTTTTGTGTGATCAGTCTTTAATCTCCTGAATCCCACATGGACTTTGCCTCAGCTCCTCCATCAGCTCCAGTCCTCCAGGTGTTGGTGGACGTCTGCAGGCCTCAGTAACGTTTCTGAGCAGCTCTGCTTCCCTGTAAGCCTTCTTCCATCAGTCGTTCTGGAGACTTTCTTTGAGCTTTTTGAGGTTGTTGCGTTTCAGGTTCATTTAGCGTCTCTTTGTGGTCGTATTGTGTTTCTTTGCGATTCCTTTTGTAGCTTTCTGAAGCTTTTATGTGTTTTCGCAGATGTGTATTTAAGGCAGTTTTCTGTCTGTATTTAGGTTATTTTGTACCTTTCAGGTGTTTTGTTGTGCATTTTGTTGTGATTCGGCCTCTCTTTATGGTTGGTTTATGTCTCTTTGTGGTGGTTTCAATTGTGATTTCAAACCTAACTGACAAATGCATCAAGCTGAACATTTAACTCCTAAAACTCTTCCGTTCAGGATAGACGGGAAATACGATTTTATAAATTCATCTGAAATTAGGTTCTTTTGTATTTATTCACTTTTATTAATACATGTTATTTAAAAGTGCATTGATAACAAAATAATTGTATTTTAGTAGTAAAACATCATTTGGGATAAAGAGCTTCTACAGACTGGAGTTTTAACCTTTACAGAGTTCATTTAGGGCTCAAACCTCCCACAGAGTTCATTTAGGGCTCAAACCTCCCACTAAAGCTGTTTAAACCCTTTAAATTTGTTTGTGAGGTTTTAAATATTAAAACCAGAAATCTTTATTTAAGTTATTTCTGAACTAAAACCTGGATATCCGGCCCACGATGTGAGAGATGCTGCGTCCTGGTGTCTCCATGCGGAAGCTCAGGCCTTTGGTGGAGGGCTGACCCACGGCTTCAGTCTCCTCCCAAAACCTGACCCCCACGTGTCCCGGGACGGCCAGCGGCTCCTGGAAGAGGGCCGTGACGCTGACCGGAGCGGTGAGTGGTCCCACTCCTGCTGGCAGACCACAGCCGTGAGGCTCAGGAAACGCCCCGGGAATGCCAGGCGTGCCAGCTTGCTGGACGGAGCCCTCCTACCTTTGTGCTTCTCTATTTCCGCCAAGCAGACGGACAGAATCCAGAGACCCGGTGCGGTCGGACGTGCGAGGCCCAGGACCCGGGCCGGCAGGGCCAGGATCCGGTGGGGGGAGTAGTCCGAGAAGGACCAGTCGCAGTGCGTCCCGGTGGTCCGGGACACCCGGAGCTCCACCCGCTTCTCCGTTTCTGGCGCCGGCTCGTCCGGGGGGCCTGCCGGAGCAAACAAATCCCTGTGAGGCGTCGCTCTGTCGGCCTGATGGTTGTTTCGGGATTTAAAAAGGGGGTCCCACCCTTCTCCGGTAGGCAGCCGCCCGCTTTGCCCGGCCGCTCCTCGGAGAGCAGCGTCAGGACGCTCTCCCAGACCGGGCACCCGGAGCGGGACGCGGCCGACAGGCGGATGTCCACCTCCACCCCGGCAGCCGCCTGCCGGTACCCCAGGACTCGGGCCTGCAGCACGAACGGGCCCTTCTTCAGCTCGTCCACCGGCTGCAGGCTCTGCAGGCTCTGCCGCACACGTCTCAGGCCTGAAAACAACCGGCCTTTTCATCCTCAGCTCATGCAACAGAAAAATCCACCAAAAGGGTCCTTACTGAGAGTATAGCGCAATATTTGAAATGTTTACATGTCCCGTTTAAGCTTCATATTCAGCGGACACATTAGTCATGTGGACTGGTACAAACAGGGCTATTTATTTGTGAGCAGTTTGCTTTTTAAACCAGATATATACCAACCGAATAGATAAAGGGCACTGACATCCCTCCATCCTACCTGTTTCCACTTAACAAAACGCTGAGGCTTGGGCTTGTTAGCCAGATTCTTTAGTTGTAATACTTAGAACAAACCAGAGTAGATAAAGGGTAAAAATATTACATTTATTGGTCAAAGGTAAGGTAAATCAGCTCTGGGCTCTCACAGACAAAGCTCCCTGAGGATCTCAATCGGCAAGAGCCCTGAAATCCGGGTGTGATGGATATTTGTCTTCTGGGCTGGGCCTGCCCCTTAGAAAAGGACTGGACACAACCCAGTGTTAATGGCCAGTTAGCTTTGACATGTATCGGCCAGCTCCTAATTCACGCAGATATTCGAATGTGATAAGAAAGTGTGTGTGTGTGTGTGTGTGTGTGTGTGTGTGTGTGTGTTGACCTAAAGACGTGTATCTACTTCAACAGAGAAAAAGAGAATCTGTGGGCACAGCCAGAGAGTTTAACGAAGGAGTATAGTTAAAAAAGGAATGACAGAATCAGTGATTTACTTGGAATATGTTGTAGCATACAAAGCTTGAATGAGTAACTATAGCCTAATTCTGAAAGGCTCATCCCTCCCATTGTGAGTGAGTGACCTCTCACCGGCTGGGCAGAGCCCAAAGTGGCCGTCCGTCAGCAGCATGAGCAGCAGCCTGCTGCAGAGAACCTCCGGGAAGCAGAGGGGCACGTCTCTGTGCTCGGAGTCTGGATAGTCCCAGCCGTAACCCGCCACGCTGCAGAACCTCCTCAACAGGGACGCGTCCAGCCTGGCAGAGACACAACGGCCGCCTGAGACTGAGGAAGTCCGGCAGGACGTAGGATAATCCCCGAAAGCCCCACACTACCCCAATTTCTCATCCCAGATACAGGAATTCCTCACGACAGCTAAAACTAAACAGGGACCTCATCAACCTCTGGCCCTGGGGGTGCCGGTGTCCAGCAGGTTTTAGAGGGGTTTCCTCCTTTAAAACACCTGATTCAGATTAAAAAAAACTTCCTGCTTTACGGTAATAAGAGAAGAAGAAAGCCAAAAATCTAATAATATTTCTTTCTAAACAGACTTTAGTCGTCGTAGTTTTCGCGCCGGTCCTGAACTGATGCGTAATTGACGGACCTTCAGCGTCGCGTGCTCACCTGCAGTCACGCACGGTGTAAACAGCCTTGCGCGCCCCCGGAGCAGCTGCGGGGTACAGGCGGCCTGAGCTCCGCGTGACAGCTCTGAGCAGGTACTTCACGTGAAGGTAGAAAAAGCTCGGAAGTCGGTCCCCGCTCAGAACTTCTGCCTTGAGTAGCTGATGAGACGAGTAAAAGTGAAAGAAGACCAGAGACACGGAGCACAGAGACAGCGACGCCGCCAGAAGGCTGCGCGTGTTCCCCATTACTGCCCAAAACAAGGGTTTACAAAGTAAGGTCCACCATGACCGGCTCTACGGGGAGCGCACAGGGACAAAAACGCCTAATCGAGTATTCCATTGAGAGACGCTTGATGGTGTTAAAAACTGTTTATTCTTAAACATGTTAAACACCACATATCCAGGACTTTATTTACATCTTCCACAAGTAAAAACCACAGATTTTACAGTAGTCCACTCCAATGACTTAAAAACGTGTAAAAAGTGTTATCTAATTTAGTTCTCCTCAAAAGAAAGAAGAAAGTGGATGCTAATTTCAGTTTGTGGCCTGAAAAAAGAGACATATTGGTGTGAAACAAATGCAGAAAACATTCATAATCAAGCTGACAGGGGGGTTGTCTTCACAGAAGTTCCTGAGGTCAATGCAGCGTCTCTTCAGGCTTTCCCGACTTCATCCAAACAGAAGCAGCAGCACAATGCAGACCGAGTTCACCGCTATCAAAGGAACTGCAGGCGATAAAACAGAGTGGTTTTAAACAGGCAGACCCAGCCGATATCTGCTTTTGATGTAACAGCAACACTGGCAAGCTTAACTAAGGAACAGAATCTGTCCACTTTGAGGTAAACTGTCACAGTGTCACCATGGGCAGTTTAGCAATGTGTAACAATATTTAAGGAAAAGAGTCGTCCCCATTCGTCTGTCTGCAGTTGGCCTGAATCATGGTCATGCTGCTCCTGCAGCAGTCATTTCAAAACCTTGTGGTGTAAATTGAAGCTGAGTGAAAGTGACTAACAATTTTGATCACTGCATCTATTTGTTTTATTATAGTAGTTGTTAAATTATGGTCAATCAGCAGCCAGGCTGGATTGGGTCCGCAGTTCCTCGAGACAAGTATGGATGCCCTACCGGAGCTCCCTTTGAGCAGCTCTGATCATGGCTAGTATTAATATCCTTGTGGTTATTTATCTATACAACGAGGGATTTCAAAAAACAAAACTGTGTACCTGATCAGACCTCTGGTTTCAGCACCAGGGTTAGAGGTAGACTAATTTGAAGCTTCGGGTAATGGGGAAGTTTGGGTATTCAGTTGTGATGGGTGGGGTTAGGGTAAAGGGCTGGAGAAGAGTCGGCCAAAGGAAGGACACCCACCTCTCATTACTGTCCTCACAGAGCGGATAAGGTTCATCATCTGCACTTTGATACCTGGTTCATCACCAAATCCTCCAACACTTTGGTCTACTCCCCAACCAACTGATCAGAGTTAAAAAAAAAGAAGCCAAACACACATTTAGTGTCTGCTACAATCTGTCACGTCTATAAAACATAACAGATTTTTACCCAACCTTTGCTCAAATAGCACATTTCAAACGCCAATGTGAACTAAAGTGCTATAAAACATCTGTTGAAAAAGCTTAAACTGAGTTTAAAAGCAGGTACACTCATTTTGAATAGCCTTAAATCACTTTTGATGTTTTTATTGACAGAAGCTTCTACATGATATTTATTCTGGTGTATAGTAAACATCTACATTTATAATGAAAGTCGTATTTTACCAAACAAATACACCGATGTATCGTCTTACAGACACGCCAAGGATGATGATTTTGGCTTAAATCACATTTTTTCCTTTAAAGAAACAAATCCCTACACAGCTATGTGGTTACTAGCTAGCTAGCATAAGCTAGCATTGCAGCTCGCTCCATTTTTCATCGCAAAAAAGCTGTAAAGTCACAAAGCCAAAGACCGTTCTGAGCTTACTTTTGCTAAGAAACCTTTCTTCGTGCAATACGGCCACGGCGTTGACACACAAGATGGCAGCTTGGATAAGAGAATATAAAGTAAATGCCATCTTCCTAGCTGCAGGTTAGCTTAAACCGACACTGTTGATGGATGACGTAGTCTACGGCATCCGAGGAAGGAAAAAAACTACAGGACTTTCAGAAGTTATCGCTTACACTTAAAGGGCCAACGCACCTTAAAAGTGGAGAAAACTACTTAGACGTGACTTCACTGGTATTTTACGTTCTTGAAAATAGAAAAATCCATCTTTAAAAACTGTAAAATTAAGACTACAAATGTATATTTTGCAGAATAGATGCATTCTTTCTTGACATGAAAAGGAAACATATACAATACAACATACTGTATGTTAATATAATAAATATTATTACACTAAAATATATACAATAAAAGTCTTGTCTGGAGCCTATCCCAGCTGTCATTGATTAGCGTGAGTCTCCAATTAATAAAATAAAATTGACTTTTTTCAAACAAAGGTGTAGAATTATAGCAGTGATTTATTTTTCTAAAGTTATAGTTACACATTTTTTAAATAATTAAAAGAAAAAGAAAATTAAAATAAACATATACATTAAGCCATAAAAGATAAAAGCAGAGAGAGATAATCAATCTGAGCACTTGAGGAGTTGCTGTCAGCTCTTCATATTCTCATTGCATGATGAACAGCATCTATCAAGCTTCCCACATTCAACAATAAATAAACACAACACCCAGAATCATGAGAATAAAAATCTTTATTAGTGTTTTTATGAAGTCTGCATAATATGCCACACGCCTGAGAAGCTTATGATCAGAACAAAAACAAAAACAAAAATAAAAATAGAAGAAAAAAAACCCTGCTCTATGAATACCGCCCTCTACTGGTAAAACAACTGCAACATCTACTGTACTGACTGCTTTGCAAAAAGATTACTGTTAAATACACACATACTGAACTACCGTTATGTATATGCATGTCTGGTCCACGTCAGTTTTTGTATATTTTTTTTATTCATTATTATTTCACATTCATATGTTGTAGGCCAAAGATTAAAAAAAAAAAAAATGTAACACTGGACCCTTAACACATGGTTCTGTTCCCCAGATCCAAATGTCACCAGATGCACTTAAAGCACAAACCAGTGCCATATCGTAAAGGCATTTACAGCACGAGGTGGAGGGGCGGAGGGGACACATAAGTCGAGTTTAAGGTAGTAGGTTTGTTGTACATACTGTTCTTTATAGACTGAACAAATACAATACACACATTAACACAGAATGTCCCGTCGGGCAGGCACAGTCGCTCTCATCCCTTTGCTGATGTAACACTGTGAAAAGCCTAATTCTTCTGGTTGTATTTAACTTGCATGACAAAGCACCAAAAGCTACACGAGGTCAAATGTGTTCAAAAAACAAACAAACTAAATAAAAATAAAAATAGGTATAAGAAGAGATGACTGAATGGGCATTATAAAGGTTTACACATTAGGGAAGTAGATTTAAGGTTACAGTCACGTCTGTTTTCTGTACTTTAAACGCACCAGAATTCTTTGGAAAATAACGAAGGCTATATATATATATATATATATATATATACAACGTACAGGGTTAGTCAAAAGTCACAGGACACTTTTTTTCCTTTAGACACCAAAGGGAAAAGGACATGTCTGAGTATCCTGTAAGCAAGTAGTGGGAGGTGTAACCCGAGCATGGCCGCCATCTTTAAAGCCGCCATACTGAACCAAGGGAAGGTGGTCATGGAGCTTATCAAAGAACAGCAGAGTTGTCTCTGAAACCAACAGCAGCAATCAGATTTTCAGCATCTCTGGTATTTCAGAAGTTATCCACACATAAAGCTGCAACAGCTGGAGGCGCGGCCTGTGATGCACAGCTGTATGACGTGTTCAGCACACGCCAAACAGCTGCGAACCACCAGAGATGCTGCAAATATGGCAGCCGCATTTGATTTCTGAGACCATTCTGCTCTTCTCCGATATGCTAAAAGACCATCTTCACATGGGAAAAACTGGCCCTTGATCCAATATGGTGGTTTTGAAGATGGCGGCCAAGTTCCAGGAAGATAGCGCCCCCCTCCCCCCAGCCCTTTACCCATTAAAGCTGGGGGTATTCAAATGTAATTTTCCTTTTTGTGTCAGAAAAAAAACAAACAAACAAAGAAAATACATGTCCTGTGACTTTTCACTGATCCTGTATATCATATAAACGTCTATTGGCTACACATCATGTAGGGCAGTGTTAAATATATTTTTTTGTAATTTTAAAAATTCCTCCTTTAAGCAGAAATAGATGTTCTGCTGGGATTTAGGGGTAAGATTGGGAATGATTCGTGCCCTCCACATCACTTTAAGAAACAACTGCGGTCTTGAAAATATTTTAATAAAAAGTGAACGACAAATTTTTAAGTATATTTATATATAAAAATACATGAGAATACAAAAAAAGTAGCAAAACAATGGGGATACAGGCTGGAAAAACAATAAATTCACTTATACCTTCAGCATTTTCCTGGAGACGATTAATGAGTCACCCTGGAGAGTCCCAGGACTCTCAGTGCTGTGTTCAAAAACAAAAATAGTGAGTGGAAATTCTCTGGTCCCTGCCCAGCGTGGCCAATATCTTAAAACCAGGCTGTTCAGTTGGGATGCCAAATGAACTACACCAAGAACAAGGAGTGACATAATGAGGAAAAATAAATCAACTATGGCCAGACTGAGACTGTGGTTTCTTTAGAGCTGTGGAAATATCTCTTTATTCAACATTCCTATACGTCCTATCGGAGGTAAGTCTAAGAACGACGCACCTCGTGAGGTCAAACGGCGGCTAGATTGTGACATTTCCATCAGATTTGATTAAAAACACATCGCTGCATTTCTGAAGGCCGCCAAGAAAAAACCAAACCAAGCTTCAGAACAGCGAAGTGGGAAGGAGCAAAAACCATGTCACTTACACAAGCCGTCTTCAACACTGAGAAATATTCACAGATATTTTTGGTATTTCCCCCTACTTCCCGGACTAAAAACCAATATACATTTCATTTGTACCACAAATAGAGCTCATATTAAGGATTTGGGGCAAAGCAATTTAACAAGGTGCATGACATAGATGAATAACAAAGTGCCAATTTTTTTTTCTTTTTCACTGAGAAATCTGCATGTTTATTTCTGTGAGTGCAATACTGAGGGTGTGTTTGATCCTTTGAGTGTGTGACGTTAAAAGAGGGATGTGGAACCGGGCCACAAATACTATGAAGTAAAAAGCGACTGAGTTGGGTTTCCTTTTTTTTCTCTTCTTTTTCTTTGTTTAATTTTGTGGAGTTGAATGATCTTTGTAATGGGCTTTTCTTCTTTTTTTGGGGGGCGTTCATTAGCTGTTTAGGACATACTGGAGCAGCGTGCAGACGGGGAACCCATCTGGGTCAGAACCTTGTCCAGCCACTGCAGGGGGCCGTTTAAGTGCAGCTCGATCCAGCAGGGGGTGCTCGTCACTGTTTGCCGCCTGGAAAATAAAAAGAGGCCGTCGGAAATCTGTAATTCGCTGTGCTGGACGGCTGGGGTGTGACTGCTCTGCTGGAGTGAGTCGCTCACATCAGGATCTTGAGCACTTGGATGTACCCACTCAATCACACTGCTGCCATAAATGCTGGACAAAGTGTAACGACTATTCCCCCGGATTATGTTTTTTCCTCGGCAAACTCGCTCTTATTGGAATTTATGGGCTTCAAGGTCATAATAGGAGTAGATTTGCATCTCTTTGGGTACTTTCTCGACTTATGGACCCTATATGGCTAAAAACTGCACCCAGAGGCACATATTCAGAATTTAAACGACCCTGAAGGGGAAACTTCTGTCCCTAATTAAAATGGACAAACCACATGAGAACTACAGCAGGAGCTTTGAGAAAACGTTTACACATCCCTTGATTTTTAAAATTATGGGGCACGGCTGATCTACACTGAGGCATGAATCCCAGTAAAAGAGGTCTGGGGGTGTCCAACATGGATCCACAGACCAGAGTTTGATGTATGGACAGTCTTAGTTATTCAAAACTTCTGATAATGTTTTAAAATTCAAATATTGAAAATGTGGTTAGGGGACCAGTATAAAAAGCTATCTGAGCAGGAACCATCTAAACCCTGCCATACAGCCTGGAAGGGTTTAGATGGTCTCAGGATGTGGGACTCGGCTCACCTGTACTCGGCCCCCCAGCCTTTGACGAAGCTCATGCGGATGGTGCACATCCTGGTCAGCTGGTAGACGGCCTCGAAGCCCTGGTTGACAGACTGAGCCAGCAGGGCAGCAAATTCCTGGTTGTTGAAGATTTTTAGGTTACAACCTAGAAGGAAAAGTTAGAAATATGAGTGCGACTTTCACCAGCAGTTCTTAATAATGACCTTGGCAGAGTATCAGATTTTTTACTTCTTAAAGAGAAAAGAAAAGTAAATAATCAAAATTATCTGGAGGCAAGGCTAAGAACTGCACAGTGTTTTAAAGGATCCAACAGGGACTTTGAGTAAAGGTGAGGGATGACATTGTGTGTTTATGGTACACTGTGTTGTATGAGGCCTTCTGGTGCATTCAGGGACAACTCAGTAACTAAGAAATCTGTATTCCCATAATTAATTTGGTTAACATAGAATTTCCTCTCAGATATCCAGCTATCAAAGAATGTAAAAAGTCCTTATTTCCATCTAGCTAAATCAGCAAAATTATGTTTTTGTGCCCACAGAAAAGAGTAAAATAGACACAAGGTTACCTCAAAAGAGACAGGATATCAATAGAAATATATATAATATATATACATAAATTAAATTAAATCTGAGATCTACAGAGAACTAATGCTGCATTGCCTTCCTAATATAAATATAAAGACAAGACTTCTTTTGGTCAAATCAAAGACAAAAACTATCTTTTTGGGACAAAAGCAGGTGGCAACGGTCTTGTATTTGAACAAAAGACCTGAGGTCTCTTGTTTATTAGATATATAGTGAATAATTACACTTTAAAAATGGTTCGAGAACCTAACTCTTTGTTTTTTTAACCATCATTGTGACTTTGTTTAGAGTTTCTGCCTTAAAACCGCCGGAAACACGAGGATTAAGACGGTGGCATCTTCAGCGTCTCACCTGGAGGAATTTTACACACCGTCGCTGGATGCCAGCCATACCTCTGATTGCAGTTTGGACTCTGGACAAAGATAGCACTATCACTCAAGCACTCAGCAAACACCTCCCCACCAATGTAGTAGAGTCTAACTCCTCTTCCTGTGAACAGACAGACACGATCCACTTGTTCATCAATGGAAATGTTATGACTGGACTTTCAGAAAAGGGGCCGATGAGAGACATGAGGTGCATTTTGAATCAGTCCCATACCTATATGCCTCCGGGTCATCTCCACAGTGGCGTTCCTGTTAACATTAGAGAGCAGGCCCAGGCAGAACCGCTCAGAGTTTGACGGATCTGTGAATCCGTCTACCGTCAGCGAGGGCTGGGAAGCGTGGAACGTCTCCCCCACGCGCTGGTTCAACTCGTAGTAGGCTATAGAGCACCAGAAGGCTGGCTCCGAGTAGGTCACCGGCTGCAGGTCTGCAGAACAGAGAACAGCATCAGTCAGTCGGGTTTATCCTGTAAGACACTCAGCATTATTTGCTCACAGTCAGACCCACTTCCACAGCTTTGTGTTTGTCCACTCTCTATGCAAAGCCAGATTTATTTATTGCCATGACCAAGGGACAGCCAGAGCTCTTTGCTCTCAGACTGCAGCTCTACTTCTGGTTCCTGAGTTTTTAAAGCAGATGGGAGGCAGAGCCTTCAGGTATCAGGTTCCTCTCTGTGGAATCAGTCTGGGTTCAGGAACCAGACCCCCCCCCTCTACCTTTAGGATCAGGCTGCAGACTTTCCTTTTAGATAAAGCTGATAGTTAGAGATGCTCAGGGACCCTAGTTCTGCTGGGTGGTACCATGATGAACCTCTCCTCCCTCTGCCAATATAGGCCCATACTGCTGGGCCTCTATCTTTCTGGAGCGGCCCCCACCCAGTCTACAGAGATATTCTGATTCTGATGGAGGTTTCTTCCTTGATCCATACTCAGGACTTGTGATTGGATCAAAGGTTCTATGCAATCTGTTGGTTGCCCTAACTAAAAAAGTCTTTGTATGAACTGGACCAATTTGGAAATGAATCCAATGAATTTGATTGTGTAACTGTTGTGTTATTGAATTGAACTGCTGTTTATCTTTGTGCATTTGCTGTTATTTGGCCCTATACAAAGAAAAGTGAACAGAACTTACCCATGCTGTGATTGACCGGGGACAAAGTGCTGGGGGAGAGCTCTGCTGGAGAACCTGCCAAATAGACATGAAGTTATGGATGTGACTGAGTTTACAGCAGACCGCATGGCTAACGGGCAACCCGGGTCTTATGAAAACTCTGGTGACGGGATGAAAAAGGCAGAAAATGAACTGAAACCGATCTGCTTGCTTAATGATGGTCTGCTGAGATTACTCAGTTCGCTTATTATCTGTCCCATATGGGAAAAGACTTACAGATAATTTAATGACACCTTTTCTGATGGCCTGACAGTGAATTAACAAGCCCGTCTCCCCTGCCCCCCAATTTATTTTTCATATCAAACAATAATCCTGACTGCATGCAGCCAAAGTGATGCTCAGATTCCTCTGAGATTGATGTACAGGATGTCAAGCTGCTGGTACGGACTTTACAGGCCATTCACAAGTGAGAGCCGGTATTCACCCATCAGTAATGAAATTCTGCTTTCAAATGTAATAAATAACCTATTTTGTCTTCAGACATGTGTCAAACACCTGATGAAGCCTTTAAACAGCAATTATGGATTAAATCATTAAGAAAGGTGCAACTTCTTTTCAGATTTCCCAACAATATAAAAAAGGGAAAGTAAGAAAAATAACCTCAAACATCTAAACGACACAGAGCACAAAACATAGCTGAGAACTGAGTTAAGGGCTAATCTAGGCTACCTGTGTCCATACTTTGATTCATCTGTTGATCGCTGGCTTCCCCATCTTCACTGATGTAACCGGGTGGAGGCGTTTCTGTTTGAGTGATGAAAGGAAAAAACGGAAATGCTGAATTGTTTTTGTAAAATTATATTTCTGTCAAACAAACACCGGAGGATTGATCTGATAAAAACTACTTCTTTACGTCACACTGGCGTGAATCCAGTGGAGTCCAAAGGCTCCTACCTGGTATGTAGTTGTTTGGAGGTTCGATTCCTGCGGGAAAGTTTGTGTTCTCGGGTATGGAATGAGTGTAGTCGTCCAGAGGCGGCAGCTCCGGCAGGATTTCTGAGTGTCTTGGCACGAGAACAGGAGGCAGCACTACAGAGCGAGGAGTCCAGGGATATTAATCATTTAGTTCATACCCATTTTCCTGACAGTTGTTACACATCTTTATGGGTGATTGGAGAAAAGAAAACAAACAACTTCCACTGGCACTGTCCTCTCACCTGGGGTTTCCACCCTCTGGTAGTGGTAGGGGTTGATGCAGACCTCATCCTTCTTGAGGTGGAAGGCATACTCACAGGCCTCAATGGCACGCAGCTCGTGGTGGCTGTGAAGGTCCGGCCATCGCCACAAGCGACAGTAGATAACATGAGGAAGCCCCTTCCTGTGGGACACCTGAAGGCGGCCATCCAGGGATCTGATTAAAGAGCATAGAGGAGGTGGTTGAGGGACGGGCGGTCAGTTCACAGAGCAGGAGGGGAGGGTGGTGATATCATAAATGACCAGGAAAGGGAGGTAATAGAGATGGGTTTGTCTGAGTGGATCAATGTCTGTCACCTTCAACATCAAAGCTGTATGCAACAACATACAATAGTTGAGGATAGTCACCTGGTTTGGTCTGGGTAGCTGTATAGGCTTGATGTATCCCACTGTTCTATCGTATTTGGTGTACTCAGTCCCCATATTTCAGAGCAATTGCTGTGCACAGAGAAAACAACAAAACAAAAACAAAAAACAAATGATAAACATGGGACATGGCTCATTCAGAAATATCAATATGGGTGTGTGAACAATAAAAGGCCTCTTTTATTAGAGTCTTATGGCAAAATAAAGACATCAAATTCACTCCCTGCTGTGGAAATGATGGATGGGAACTTCAAATAAGAGAAGCCTTTTTTCAACAGAACAAATCAAAGAATACAGCATGAAACCTGCCAACACAGACAGCGAGTGAGACAAAGGGGGCGTTCATCGACACTGCATCAAACAGAGAAAATAACTAAAAACCTTCCCCTTAAGTCACTTATCTCGAGACATTCAATGGTAACAAGATGCGACCTTGGGAAAAAAAAACCCTTCCAGACATTCCCAAAACATCCACAAGAAAAAATTAAGCAAAGAAAAAAAAAGTGAAGCGGAGACAAATGAGGATTGTTGCTTCTGAATAAGAGTGACGATAAATTCTACAAGTTAAAGGCAACAGATACACAACAGCATGAACTAGACATGATGTCTAAAAAGTGGGATATGAACTACCCATTAAAGCTTTGACTGCCCAGTTCATGAAAGGACAAGAAACTAACCTCTGCCCCCCCTTTATTATTCATTTTAAAATATTAAAATTAAACAATCAGCCTTTTTAACCAGGAAACAGGCCAGTTAAAACACAAACATTGTATCTGAAATAATATTACCTTAAAAGGGCCAACTGGGTGAATGGGCCCATTTGAGTTCATTAGAATAGCAGACTACATTAGGCCTGTAATAATGTCCCTTAAGCAATCTACACATCTCATAGTTCCCAAATAGATAAATAAATCATGACATCAAGCCAGCCACTCCATCTCTGCAAACGTAATAGTGTGGTCTACAGCACTTCTCAGGGGATAACAAGCAGCCCACTATCTATAGACACACAAACATCTGACAAGGTATTTGGCAGGACATCAGTGAGTAATGAATCCGCTAACACAATGTTCCCACTGAACATGAGTCTGGATCATCAAGGCTGGCTGACTGATAAAGAGAACATCTTCTCCTGACCTTAATATATTTCCTTTCCCAGGAAAAAGCTACAGTCCATCAGTAAAGATGTAAATAAACAGATTCCCACTGAGCTCATCCTTAATGGGCCAATAATGCTGCAGTGCTTTGCATCCCTAAACACACTTGATCACGTTTTAAACTTTAGCTTTTGACTCATTGAATGAAGGTTAGAGAAGGGTCAGCAGTTCACAGTTCTGAACAGAACCAGAAGACGCCCTGCGTACCTGGGGATGGTGACACACTTTGTGTTGCAGTTCTGCGTGGTGATAGCTTTCTCCAGTTCGTCGAGCTGGCCCGTTTTCTTAAGCTTCTTCACTAAACTCTTCACGGCCTTTTCGCACCATTTTTCCTCCTGCCCGTTCTGCTCTCCGCTTCCCGCTACGCCTGGTATACTCGTTGACTTCTTCCAGCCCAAAAGCCTCTTCACCACAGGCGGGGTGAACGGCAAGATGGATGACATCTTGACCAGACAAGCCGGGAGTCTCCAGAGGACTCAACACGAGCTCTCTCTCTGAGGATCTGGAGCTGTAGCTTGGGCCCTTGCTCTGAGGAGCCCCTCCGGTTACCAGTGAGTCACAGGGTGGAGGCCAGTGCTAGCAGAGTTTACTAAAAAGATAGAGACACCTTGAAAGGAAGTCACACACAAAACACATAATTAGAGACTGCAAACGGTACTGTACAGTCAGTAAATACAGTGAAAAAAGTTTATAATCCACCATTCACAACAGTATTTAGGATTAAGACTAATCAACATGGCAAGAAAACAACATATAAGAATGTACATGCAACTTTTATCAGGACTTATGCAACACTTCACTTCATCAGAAGAAGCTGATTCAGGCAGGATTTCCTGTCCTCCTACCAGCTGTCATGTGTACCAGATATGAGATTTAAGCCTGGCACATAAACAGACATCCTCACAGCAGTAAAAACACAAGACAGTCTCAGGAGGTTAACATCAATCCATATGATTAATAAAATCAGCCGGGCGACATCTCTGCACATGACCAAAGGCATTTACGAAGATAAATACTGTAATGATGGAGATCATTTCAACCCCTGTGATGGCACAAAACAAGAGCCCAATAGTCAAAACACAAGCAGCACACAACCCAATAAATGTAATCCATTAGCCTATTAAAGCACATACAAACAAAGCATTAGGGTTGTTTTGTCAGTAGCATGTGTTGCCTGTTGTGCCGAACAGAAAATTCAGCATCCACTTAACATTACACCAACAGCTTGGTGTAAACAGTGTTTGACATTCGGCTAGGGAGCTTGCAAACTTGTAAAAAATATATATATATCTTCCTGTTGCGCGTTATGCCCTGAGGCAATCAAGACCAGCGAATAATAAGAATAGTTACGAAAAAAACATATGTAAGTGAAGGGAATATTTTGTGACAGCCTCCCGTTGCTTCCACAAACTGGCTTGAGAAGGCCGGCTGTTAGCTAGCTAGCGATGGGAGGGGGGAGCCTGATGGGCTCATATCACAACATTATATTTAGTACTGCTTGCTTTGCAGGTGCTGAAATAATGATAGAGCACGCTAAAAAGTGGACATCTCAGCCCAACGTGTCCCACTGGGTGAAAATAAGATCAATGTGTATTATTAACATGGCCATGGTAGCTAGCGTTAGCTTGGCTAAGCTAGCTGCCAGCCTGTTATCAAAAATCCTTTTGTTGTGATCCGCGAAAAAACCTCCCGTGAGCAACAGTCAAGTCGCGCGACTCTAGCAGCCCATTTCAGCCTGTCAGAAGCCTTCGGAGAAGACGTTTACACAACGATACAAAGGCTTGTTTGAGCGCAGCAACATGTCCGTGTATGTGTCAAACAACAACAACAACAAAATAAAATAAAATGAAAAAAAATAGTTAGCATCTCCGCAGAACTCTTCCAAACTGAGCGCCGGCTACCGTTGGCTAACGGGGCTACATCATCCCTGCCTCAAAACAACATGCTTCAAAGTCGAGAAAGCAGCTAAAAGAACTCCAATAGTTACCCCAGTTTCACTGTCCAAATGTCCACTTCTTAAAAAAAAAAGACGTGAGCAGTCCTCCGAAAGCCCTGCTCACATTAAAATGCTTGGACGTTACAGTACAGAGGCTAATTTTGACAAGGCTTGTAGGCTGCTCTCAAGTTGCTACCAGCGCTACTGTGGCTAGTTGGCTAGGTTAGCCAGACCGGAACAGTACAACGAACGTGACGGCTACGCAACAGCTCTTAATCCCTCCTTTTAAAAAAACGATTGAAAGATTACTAAAGGATTCACTCTGAATACTGACTGGCATCCGTGTGAATCCTCATTGATAAATTGCCTGTATTTAGTAATGTCCCTTTATATATATAACAGATTAAAATGTGTGTTTACAGCATTTCAACAAGAAAAAAACATTATCATCATTGTCAGTTTGTTGTCCCATTAATTATTTGCTTTTGTTGAATATGACATTGGACGATAAGGTAATGCATGGAATAAGCCAGCAACCTGTTAACTGAGTTTTATTTAGTTATTTCTTCTAAACTACTTCTCTTAATGAAGCTCTGGCTCCTCCCCTAACTCAGGTGTTCAATTTGGCTGAATTAACCTCAGCTGGTACCTTTATAAAATGCCCCTCATAGCACTCAGAAGAAAGTGCTCTGTTTTATTTTGTCAGTGGCGATGGGAGGATGGCTAATGTTCTGTGTGGCGTTATGGGCATGGTCCTTGCAAGGTGAGGGGGCTGGTATTTACAAAAAAACACCTTGATGTTGATTTGTTTTATGCTGTTTACTTTTTGCTCTATGTAGCTGTTTCAGCTGGAGGCAGTCAAATGAAGTGCAACCTGGGCTCTAAACTATGCAAGGATGGCTCAGAATGTATCCGCTATAGCCACGTGTGCGATGGAGAGCCTGACTGCAGGGATGGCTCGGATGAGGAGGACTGTGACTCTGGATGCACTGAAGGTAAAGCTGAAATGTGGGCAAACTGTATGAGACTCAAGTGAGTTCTACACTGAAAACATTAGCTGTATGCTCCAAATCTATCAATTTTTAGATATGTTGGCTGTCCATTTTTGCCATATTTTTTTTTCCCCCTTCCCATTAGACTGTGGTACTTCATTTTGCAAATGCATGCATCCCAACAGATCAGTTCCAGTGTGCCCATGGGAAGAAGTGTATTGACAAGGACCAGGTGTGTGACGGCGTGCCTCAGTGCCAGGACCGCTCCGATGAACAGCAATGCCTTAAACATACCGAGGGCTGCGTTCACCAGTGTGATGACAACAGCCGCTGTCTGCCTGCAAACTTCCTCTGTGACGGCGAGAGGGACTGTTTGGATGGCACTGACGAGGCCAAATGTGGTATGTATATCTGTTAACCTTCACGTTCTATAAATAGTATGGCTGAGTGGTCATTGCAGCATTTCACAGCTGGTTGTGTCATGTCTGACCATATATAAGTGACAAACCCTGATTTGATGCTAATTGTCTTGATCTTCAGATGGTCAAGAGGAAGAAGAGCCCATTGAAGCGCCTGCGTCAACTGTTTCTGGTCAGGCTGCTCCCATCAGATGTCCACTGGGATCCAAACTCTGCAGGGACAACTCTGACTGCGTCCACTACAACCACGTCTGTGACGGGGAAGCCGACTGCAGAGATGGCTCAGATGAGGAAGACTGCCTATCAGAATGTGAAAAAGGTAATTTGTGCAGCTTTTGCAAATCAACCCAGAAGTGACTGCAAGACTTAATAGGTGCTCTGTAACTGGCTTTAAAGGGAACACTTTAAAGACTTCGGTTTGAGGAAATGTATGTATTTTTCAGGAAAAATCTGAATCTCAGTTCTATTACGCCAAGTTTTACTCTGAGCAGTTTAAGATGCTCCCATACTGCATGCCAACGCAGTTGTGGTCCATTTCTGCTGCAGATCAGTTCCAGTGTGCCCATGGAAAGAAGTGCATAGACAGGAGCCAGGTGTGTGACGGGGTGCCCCAGTGTCAGGATCGTTCTGATGAACTTGAATGCACAAAGTACGTGGAAGGCTGTGCTCACCAGTGTGACGAGAAGAGCCGCTGCATCCCCAGCAACTTCCTGTGCGACGGCGAGAAGGATTGTGCAGATGGCAGTGACGAGGCCACCTGTGGTAAGTCTCACACGGCCGAGCGGCCTGGGAGGCCCTCCTGCTCGGTGCCTGACGGCTGGCTCTCACAGCTGGCCAGGAGTGCAGCGCAGCAGAGTTCAGGTGTACCAGTGGGCAGTGTGTCCCCGCCACCATGCGTTGCGACGGCCATCCAGACTGCTGGGACCGTTCGGATGAAGAGGACTGCACCAAAGCGCCCGACTGTACCACCAAACACCGCTGCCCCCAGAGCAAAGAGTGCCTGGTGCAGGAGTGGCTCTGTGATGGAGACCAGGACTGCAAAGATGGCTCCGATGAGAAGGTGACTGCTCCCTATGAGTATTTCTACCATCCTAATTGTGCCGTAGGTTCACGTATTCAAATCTGGTTTGGAAGTTCTGTGCTTGTGCTTGAAAACGACTTTTAAAATTCCCCCTGGAAACTGGGGAAACTCCTTGGAATTGTCCCCTTTTCCTGATGTGTTGAATCTAAGGTCAAACATTTAGCATTCATGTAGATCTGGATTTCAAACCAGATAATCTAATCATTTGTGGCAGGCTAATTTATGTGAACGGACTCTTTAGGATTGCCCTGTGGAGCCACTAATCTGTGGAGACTTCCAGTGGTCATGCAAGTCAAAGGCGAAGTGCATCCCAGCACCCTGGAGGTGTGATGGCATGAAGGACTGCGATGATGGAAGTGATGAAACGGAATGTGAGATGTGTTTTAATATACAAAAGCTTTTTGAGTTTTGAATGCTATTGCAAAATATTGGTAAATGGCCACAAGCTTAACATGTTCAGCCCTTAATCAATTAATTGGGTCTGTTCAAACTCAAAGTCCCACTAAATCCTGGGTGAAATGTCTCCACTAGGTGGGCTGGTGACCTGCCCACCTCATGAGTTCCAGTGTGGCAGTCACGAGTGCCTGGATCCCGTCCTGGTTTGCAACAGTGTTACCAACTGTGCAGATGGCTCAGATGAGGGAGGCAGCTGCCAGTCTGCCTGTACAGAGGCCAATGACAGGCAGTGCTCTCAAGGCTGCTACAGCACACCTCAGGGAACGGTGAGGATGGGGACCATATCTTTGACAAGCCATTTGGGTTAAGGGTTTTTTTTTTTTTTTATTAAGCTAATCTTCTGTGGTTTGTGTAGCGCTGCTACTGTGAAACCGGGTACAAACTCCAAGAGGATGAGCGGACATGTGCTGACGTTGATGAATGCAATGGCCAGACGCCTGTGTGCAGTCACCTCTGCATCAATACTGCAGGTTCATACCAGTGTGACTGCCATCCAGGCTTTATAATGGAGGCAGGTGGACACCAGTGCAAAATCACAGGTAAAATTCTTCATGTATTGTCTGACTAAAGTGGACTGAACTGTGTTGGCTTTTTAGACGAGTCTTAGAGAATCGCCATGTTTGAAAGGATGGGGTGGAGTGTGGCTCTATATACAAGAATACACTTAAAATACTGCTAGAAAAACTGAATGTCAAGCATTCTTTTATCTAAACTGACCTGTGTTCATGCCCTCACTGGTTACATTTTCCAGGTGAACCCTTCCTGCTGTCGTCAGTCCAAACAGACCTCTACTTGTATGGCTTGCGTAGTGGAAGCCTCGATGTCTTGTCTTCCTCGGCCAAGAAATCCATTTTGTCTCTGGATTATGACTGGAGGGATCAGAGGGTCTTCTGGGTCGGTGTGGACACCGAGACAATCAGGTGGTCTTCACTTGACCAGAAGTCAACAGGAACTGTAGTCAAAGGTTGGCTCCACTTGTTTTTGAGTGCAGGGGACTTGATGGTGGCTCAGGTTGCATGATCAATATCTGTTTTAACAGGTGTTAGAGCAGATTCTGTAGCTGTGGACTGGCTCGGGAGGAACCTGTACTGGATTGATGGTGTGAATAACCAGATTGTTGCCATCAAGCTAGCAAAAACTTCAGTGAAGTCACTGGACAGAAGCGTCATCCTGGATGAGGACCTGGATCAGCCCCGCTCTCTGGTGCTGCTGCCACAAAAAGGGTTGGTACAACTTGACAGCAGTCTTGCACAGGATGCAAAATTCTTAGTGTTTTTCTTTCAGACTGATGTTCTGGACTGAGATCGGTAATGTAGTGAAGATTGAACGTGCTGGGATGGATGGGTCTGAGAGGAGGGCACTGGTAAATGCCAGTTTAGGCTGGCCAGGTGGCATAGCAGTGGACACCATTTCAGACAGGATTTACTGGACAGATGAAAGACTGAAGGTGATCGGATCTGTCACACTTGATGGCAATGATATTCAGGTAAAGTGTCTTTGGCTTTATTTGTTTTGTTTTTTTAAACAAAGCAGAACTTGTAAATCATGTTTAAATGCCTTTTTAAGTCAAAGGCTTAAGTTTTTACAACCATACAGGTGATGCCTCTAAGGTCCTAAAGATTGTCATAGCAGTGTGGCTAAAATGTGCTCTAAAAATCTTTTAGATCCTTCAGATGAAAGAGACCACAAACCCATTCTCTGTGGCAGTTTTCAATGACATGCTGTACTGGTCTGACGCCAAGAGGCGGATAGTGCAGGCTGCTAGTAAGCTATCTGGTAAAAACCATAGAGTTCTTCTGAAAAGACTGAGGCAGCCTTTTGCTGTGAAGGCAAGTATCAAAGTGGGAATGAACCAATGTGGGTATACATATGTACCTTCCAGGCATTGATCCACATTCGGAGATGTGCTGGTGTTTGCATGCAAAATTATACAAATTTCCTGTTCTGTTTCAGATCATCCACCCAATACTCCAGATGGATACTGGGAGCCCTTGCAAGAAGATGTCCTGCTCACACATGTGTGTGCTGGCCCCCAGACGCAAGGCTGTGTGCAAGTGTCCCTCCGGTCTCTTACTGGCTGAGGATGGCCTCACCTGCTCCACTCTGGTCGCTTCAACATTCCTGCTGTTTCTGTCTCCCTCCACAGTCACACAGGTAACCCTCCAATTTATGCAGACTCACTGTCTGCCATTCAGCTCATGGTAATCCTGAGCCCTTGAACAAGGCAATTTTACCTGATACCCAAAAGTCTGAACACTGTCAAATGTGGATTGCTGATTGGGTCCAGAAAACTAATGCATTTTCTTGTAGATCTACCTGCAATCCCGCCAAGTGGCATCAGAGCTGAAGGGCTGGCCTGAACACTTGGCTCTTCAGGTTCCTGGTGTCAATGAAGCTACCATCATGGACCACAGCCTACGGGAACACACTCTGGTGGTGACGGACAGTGGCACATCATCTTTCAACTCCTTTAAGATGAAGGACTCTGCGCTGATCTCCCAAGGCCAGCTGCTCAAACTGCAGGGCGACTCCATCACAGCCATGGCCCTCGACTGGATAACCCTAAATGTGTACTGGAGCAGCAACAAACAGCCCCGCCTTCAGGTCACCACAAACACAGGAAAATACACAGCAGTCCTCATTAAAGATGGCATTGGTAGGGTCAAGGATATTGCCCTCCACCCTCCCACTGGCAGAGTTTGCTTCACAAATCTGAACCTGGAGGATGCAAATGACAAGGCGGCAATCGAATGCGCCCACATGGACGGAGCCAAGAGAAAAGTTGTGTGGAAAGATGCTGCCAAGCCAACGTCTCTGGTTTTCTCAAGAAACGGGAACACAATTTATTGGGCGAACACTGGTAAGGGCTTTATAAAAGGAGATTTGATGGCTGTTCAACACTAAATCATAGATTTGATGAATGAAATGTTTTGGCCTGAATTCTCAGGAATGGGGACGGTTGGTTCTGTCAACTTGGATGGCTCTGAATACATGGAGTTGGAGGCTGGCGATGGCCTGACTGCTTTGGCGCTGGGGGATAACAAGCTCCTGTGGATGACTGTTGGTGGTAAAGGCTAATTTTTATGTCTAACCCCACAAGAGGCCCTTAATGGTTTCCCTAAAACCATTAGGGGGGGCAGTTGTATGCTCTGTCCAAGATGACGCTATATACAACTCCTATAACACCAAGGAATAGATTATCTTGGATCTCTAGTCAACAGTTGACATTTTGTAGGTTTTGTACATCTCTATGGTTTTTACACCCAATTCTGATTATTAAATGTCTTGAGCTCTGCAAAGACCTGCCAATAGCCCATAGAAGTGATGCTGGGGAAACATCAGCCCTGAGATGCACCTTTCACAAATGGGCATTATCTGATGGTACAAATGTAAGTCTTTGCTTGGCCATTTTAGGCCAATGGCAGTCAAATGAGCAGACTGGTGTAAACATCCTCTTGATGTCTTGTAGGTTTGACCCTTTCCCCTTCAAACGGTTCAAGTTGTCTGGATCAGTTTTTTTTAGTTGAACACCTGTAGTTTAACACGCATTCATATCCTTGTTCCTCAGACATGACCAGACTTTGGTACAGAGACGAACAACAGCAGCAAAAGAAACTGTGGTTTGAGGTCGGCTCAAAAGTGATCAGCTTCAAGGCTTTCAGCAAGTCCAGTCAGGCCGGTGAGAACCTCACAGTGGACGTCTCTCCAATTTGGGTAACTTGAACCTACTGCATGAATGTGTAGTAACTTGAAAGCTTTAAATCTTCCAGGCTCCAACCAGTGTGCAGAAAACGGCGGCTGTCAGCACCTGTGCCTTGCCACCCCATCTGGTCGGACATGCATGTGTGCCCACGACCACGTCAGTGTAACGGAGACTAACTGCATCCCTGAGCAGAGCTGCCCCGCCGGAAGCCGACCCTGTCTGGATCAAGTCTCATGCCAGCTTGTTGAGAAATTCTGCGACGGGCACGTCGACTGTTCCGACCACTCGGATGAAAACTGTGAGTCTAAGCACTTTAAAGGAACGTGTAAAAGGACTTTTTTCCCCCTCAAACATTTGGCTGAAACCTCTCCGACAGGTGTTGCCCTGACGCGGAGGTCGGGAACTAAAGTGTCAGCACCCAAACCTCTCGGACCCTCTCCTTCCTCCACCCGTCCTCCCTCTGTGGTGGCCCCCTCGCACGCCTCCGGGAACGAGAGCATTCAGCTCCTGAACCTGGAGGCCCAGCAGTGCGGCCAGCAGAGCTGCAGTGGAAACGGGCGCTGTGTGACCCTGAAGGGGGTGGTTTCCTGCGTGTGCTCAGAGGGTTATGATGGCGACTCCTGTCAGCAGCTCACAAAGGCTTCACAGGCTCCCATCATCTACGGCGTGGTGGGGCTCTGCGTGGGGGTCGTGGTCATAGCTGTGGTTGTGGTGGCGATAAAAAGGAGCGCTGCATCAAGGTAACAAAGGCCTGAACCTTCTAATCAGGGAAACTTGTGAGAAGGAAGTCTGAGCCACGCTTGGCAGGTGTAGGAGTTTTAAGCATGGCTTTTTTCTCTGCAGGAGAGAAAACCCAGAGACCTCAAAAGCGATGAGCATGGCTGATCTGGAAAAAAAAGAAGGGACCACCCTGGCAGCTGCTGACAAACCAGAGGTGGAGCTTCTTTACATTTACTTTCTCTTGCTGTGGTGCTGGGCTTCTGACTTGTGCTCCTCTTTACAGGAACCTTCTGAGGCGGGATGCTGATGTATGAACAGTGTTTTAAATAAATAACTTGCATTTTTCAATTGATGGCTAAAGTTTCTGTTTACTTAACTACTTGGGGGGGTCACAGTGGCTTACAATGAAAGGGTAAAAAAAAAATAAAAGGCTCCAAATTCAAGTGTGAAGACTGACACTTGCACTAGTCTTGTTGACACTCTTATGAAGTGTCTCCTTATGTATTATTTTTTTTTTTTTAATTCTTTCAAATGATCAGAAGTGAAAAGGTAAAAATTCAGACCATTGTCTCTCCACCCTGCAAGCAATAGGGGGAATTGCAGATGAAGTGGCACAATATAAATTGATATTAACTTTATGTAAATCTAACTTCAACTGCTACACTTCCCATTTGTTTCAGATCAGCTTATTCAATATTGGTACTTTTCCAACTGGTGCAAATGTAAAGATTTTTTCCATAAAGTGGCCTTGAACATGAGCAAATATTTAATGGTTTAATTACAGTCACTGTTACTTGCAAAATGGCACATCACCCAAAGGAGGAAGGATTCTGGAAACATTTGTCACTGCAAGAACTGGTAATCAGAACATCAGGAGCTGTATACACTGCAGCTAACACAAAGCCAACAGCATCCTCTGCCTGGTTAAAATTATTTCAGACCCGTAAAATGGGAAACCATTATTGTGGCATTTGCAAGTTGAGCTTGTTTTTCAATCAAGGGGCTGTAATCCTCACTTAGATGAAACAGAGGCCTCAGGTTTTCACACTGATTTAAAAACCATTACACCTTCAATTCAGAGTAGAATAAACAATTAGAATGACGATTGTAAAGTCTGAAAACAGAAACATCTGAAATGTAAATATCACATTTATGAGCTTGACCACTCCCGACACTTTCCTGACACTCCCTAAACCATGGGTCTCACACTCGGGTCCTGCAGGCTTCAGACGTTTCCCTGCTCCTACACCTAAAAGATTAAGCTCTGCACAAGCCTTTTCATGTCACATTGATGTTAACAAGAGGTGCATAAGCAGGGAACCGTCTAAAACCTGCAGGACGACAACCATCGAGGATCTGTGTGTAACACCTGTACCCTGAACGCATCGGATAAGCAGCTGTGCGTCCCACAGCTGCTGCACAGCTCAGTTTGACTGGTGTTTCTTAAACGCTCGGCGTGGAACGTCCTCCCCTGCTGCATGCTGGGATTTCTGGCCAAGCAGAGGAGCCAGAGAAGCTCAGTCTAGTTTGAAACTGATTTGAAGTCAAATGTTACAGGAAGTGCCATCCGGGTCCATGGGGTGGGTTAATGCGGCAGAGGCGACTGGGTGTGACCTCCCTGCTCCGGCTCGGCCTCCATTTCGGCCTCCACTTCGGCCTCCGCCTCGGCCTGGTTCTGATCGTCCCCTGGCGGCGGTGCCGGCTGCTGGATCAGCCCGCCGTCCTGCGCCGTGTTGTAGGAGCTGCAGCCGGTGCATTTCATCCCCAACACGTGGAAAGGCACCGTGCAGTGGGCTTGGCAGTCGTTACAAATGACCTGCAGTGGGAAAGCATGAAAAAGCCACCTGCTTACTGCTCAGGTCATGAGCGGGCCGCGTTTTTATTGGACCGCCGAGGTCTTACTTTGACAGTAACACCCTGGTATTCAGAGGGCATTGGTGAGTGAGCAATCTCTTTGTCTATCTGATCCCAGTGGTCCTTCATGTCCCAAGCAGAGTGCATACACAGAGGGCAGCGATATGCTCTGCAACAAACAGAAGAATCACAACAAAGTCAGCAACCATATTAATTTCAACATGCTATCACATACAGTGTTTTTAAAAGATATATTTTAAATTCCTCTTAAACATTTACAAAAGAGGCTCCTTTTCCTCTCAGAATCAGCTTAAACTTCATCTCTCTGCTCTTGATAACAGCTTCCATTCTTCCTCTGGTTGTTTCTCTCTCCTTTTTGACAGTTTCTCTTGGTATTAAGTCCCACCGAGTTTCCAGCTGTTCCCACAGATTTGCTCTGGATGAAACCTTTGTGTGATCAGTCTTCAATCCCACATGGACTTTGCCTCAGCTCCTCCATCAGCTCCAGTCCTCCAGGTGTTGGTGGACGTCTGCAGGCCTCAGTAACGGCTTCTGAGCAGCTCTTCCCTTTAAGCCTTCTTCCATCAGTCGTTCTGGAGACTTTCTCAAACTCTGATCTAGAAGTGTTCATCTCTGCCTAAATATCAGCAGGTCTTGCTTCTGTTTCTGCTCCTTCAGATCTGCTGCAGATAAATTTTGTTTGCTGCCTCTTTCCTGGCTCATTTTGGAAACACAGATCTTTGAAACACACTCAAAGCACACTGACACACTGAGGACACTTTTTGTCTTTAATTTGTCTTAAAGAGCATCCAGCATCATGAGGAGTGGGACAGTTTTACAGTTGAAATTATTCCGGGGTAAAAAACAACATTTGGTCTTGAAAGCCTTTAAAGTTAAAGAAAAAACTTTTTGGGACTCACCCAGTTCTGACCATGTCATCAAAGCAGGTCCTGTGGAAAGCACCAAGAGACACCGATTAAAAACAGATGTAAAAACTGAAGATAAAAGACAACAAAAAACACATGGTATGGTCATTTCTATCCTAAGTACTGTAACAGATAATAAGAAAACAATGCCCAAAAAGGCTTGTTGAACAGATAAACCTCAGCTGATAGTTCCATCCAAGCATAAATTTGTTTCCACTTTGCTATTTTTTTTGTATCTTTTACAATCTAAAAGGAAATAACTTCAACAAACCTGACAGAAAGTGACACAGAGACCCCAAATAAAAATGCTATTCATTTTAAATGTTAAAAATAAAAGAAATTCTCATTTTTTATTTTGGTTTTTTTTTCACCAACCGCTGTCGTTCTCATCATAAAATCTGGACTTATGCCTTCCCCACACCATCGTTGATGCCAATTTATGAGCTGATGTGTGTTGTGTAGTTTCAGTTCTGATATAACATCAGAGTCCTCTTTTGTGGAACCAGGTTCCAGTTTGGGTCCGGGAAGCAGACACCGTCTCTATATTTAAGAGTAGGCTTAAGACTTTCCTTTATGATAGAGCTTATAGTTAGAGTAAGTCCACCCCTGGTTGTGCTGCTATAGGCCTAGACTGCCGGGGGATGCATCATGATGCACCGAGCTCCCCTTTCCTTTCTCTCTCTCCCTCCCGGTGCAACCTCATTCCATTAACAATGTTACTAACTGGACTCTCTCCCTTCCCCGTAGTCGTGTGCTTTCTCGTCCCCCTTCTCTCTTCTCTCTCTTCCTAACACTTTCTGCAGATATTCCTGGCTCTGGAGCTGTGGGGTCTGGATCTGTGGTTGGGAGTCTCCTCCTATCACTTCCTGCAGGTGTTCCTAGAGCTGTGGAGTCTGGATCTGTGGTTGGGAGTTTCCTGCTGCCCCCATGTTCCTGCTCATCATTAGCATTAATATCATTGCCATTTTTAATCTATTCTACGTGTTGCTGTGTTGGCTGCCCCTCTCTGCTCCTTCTGTCCTTCTCTCGCCCTCTCTCTCTCTCTTGCTCTCTCTTTCCCCTCACCCCCAACCGGCCGAGGCAGATGGCCGCCCACCCTGAGCCATGGTTCTGCTCAAGGTTTCTGCCTGTTAAAAGGAAGTTTTTCCTTGCCTGTGTCGCCTAGTGCTTGCTCATGGTGGGAATTGTTGGGTTTCTGTAGTTAACTTCAGAGTAGGGTCTGACCTGCTCTGTTTGGAAAGCGCTGTGAGACAACTGTTGTTGTGATGTGGCGCTATATAAATAAAATTGAATTGAATTGAATTGAATAACGCTCATCATGTCCTAAAAATAACTTCAACCTTTGATTCACCAGAGATCGGTCTTCCGCTTAAGCTCAGTCCAAAGCTGGGTGAAGGGGGCAGTATTTAGCAGTATTTATATAGCAGAAGGTTCCACTGATGTTTTTCAGTCCTCTATTTTTCCAGTTTGAGCCTCTTCAGAATGGCATTATGAACAAACGTGTGTCTATTTAGCAAAATTAAGCATCGGATTGGGATTTGGTCCAAAATTTTGATCCAGAGATGTTCCATTTTCCGAAGGCTTTGAATAATCTCCAAATGGCTGCTGTTCCCTACAAACCTAAACCACAGACAGCAGGTGTCCAAAACGGATGAGAAAGGGAGTCATACTTGTGTAAAAGATGGCCACAAGGCAGAACGTGAGCGCCGATTCTGGACGTGTGAATATCCTAAAAGAGAAAAACAGAAATAAATAAATCACAATGAATGAATTCCAATGAATGGACTCCCCCCACATGCACTGTGCGCCTTTACCTCCATGCACACGGGGCAGTTCTGCCTCGATACATTTTCCACACACTGAAACACAAAAGAGAAACTGTCAGCTGAAGCGGGGACGACGCCGTTCGCTCAGTCGGGAACGGTCGGGGTCACCTTGTGGTTTCCTCGAAGATCCTGAGCTAAACATAAATTGCACTTCTCACAGTGAAAGTACTTCTCCCGCGGCCCAATCCTGCAGCGGAAACAACAGAAAGACTTTGGCTTACAGTTTATTATAGGATGCACAAAAGTTCAACATCACTGCTGTTATCTTCTACAGGAAAGCCACTGAATGTGAAATGGATCGAGTTGGAAATGTGCGTTCAAGTTTCTTACCTGCATATTCCACAAGGCTGACAGTGGTACTGCTTCTTATCTTTGTCAAACAAGTGGCAAATATCACAGTAATACTCCCCAAACTGCTTCTGGCACTGCTTACATGTCTGTTGAGACTAAAGGAGAAAACATAATTTTGCACAACTGTTTTGGCTGTGTTTTATTTATAAGATATAATCATAATTTACTGGCACACGATAGACAGACAAAAGGGCAAAAGACGACATCTATGATCTCTGAGTAGTGTCATCTTATCTGAGCTCATTTACCTGTTGAACGGTTTGACACTCGGAGCACTGCACCTCGTTGACTTTGAAGCGGTCCATCTGGTGGTTCTCCTCTGCATCGTGGCACAGCCGACACACGTACAGTTTACCACAGCAGGGGGCCTTCAGCACACAGTCAATTATTTACCCATCACAGACTTTAGAAAAATTGGTCAGCAGACTGGAGATTGTGTTACTTCATTGGTGAGTGTAATATATGCACAAAAAATATGAAAACCAAAAAATAAAAAGTTGGGTTTTTAAGAGAAGGTAAAGTCTCATAGTACAGACACACCAGCGCTCATTCTATAGTGACTTGAATTGGAACAAAAGCTTGGAAAGTTTCACACAAATGCAGTATTATCAGTAGATTTACACAGAACATTGCTTGTCGTTTTTTGTGCATGTAACAAAGAAAGGATCGCTCACTTATCCATCACTTTTAATAGGTCTAAATGACTTTGACTTTCTTTCAACATAAACAGGCCAAATGGTGGAAAACAATGCAACAAAAACGCAACAGCCAGAAAAGAGTAAATCTCCTCTCCATATGAGCACATATATATTAAGATTAAGAGTACACCTAAATCAATCTTAGTTTTTAGCAATTTCATTTTAAATGTAACATTATAAATACCAGTCAACGCCTATATCTCTTTGTGGTGTCAATAATACATGCACATTTGATATAAGGTCAGCTATGTGTGTGTCAAGCGTAAAAATATTATTATTGATGCATGTCTATCATATTGCTGTCATTTCAAACGGCTAACTGTCAAGTTATTGACCCACTTTGGGGTAGCTTACAATTCAAATAATCAGTACAAGTGCTCCAAAAGAAATCCGGTATATTTCAATTGTAGTGAATAAAACTTTTCACCGGCACTTTATAGTCACTATAAGGTTATGTCACAGGTTCAGGTCCAAACGGCGTTTCAGTAACTGACTAGCTAGCTACGAGTGGTGGCTACCAATGCTAATCGTTGTATCAGAGCAGCTAATGAATCTATGTTACAACAAATGCATCATATTCAATATCATTTACTCACTTTCAACAGACAGCTGCGAACATAATGCTCACAACCAACGGGTAATGCCATGTTTCTTCTAACATTGGGGTGCTCATACGCATCATACGTGTTCATCCACTCCTCGCCGCTTGACTTTTCCCGTAATTCTTCTTTGGTGGTTGAGAGAAGTGGAGAATCTCATTACCGCCACCCTCTGCATTCGAGTGGAAAGCAAAAGATGTTTGTACACTGAAAAGTTACAAGCGCGATAACATAACCAGTAACAATTAAAAAAAAAAAAAATAGTTAACTAAGTTGAACAAGATAGAAAACGCAAAAATAATCCGAGTAGGTACTATAAATCTAGAAACTCAAGCAGTATAAAAGCATGACATCATAATGGGTAAGAAGATTACCTGCAATGAAACGATACAACATGCAAATGCGGGAACTACTTGTAAGTTGTAACAATGACTAAGGCTGCTTCTATGAGAAATTATCTTCAATATGGCCCAGTGTTGCAAGGGAGGGAAACAGTCAACACATCATAATTAAAACACTTAGCCAATGAGCCATACGGGACTAATCGCAATTAATATGTGTAAACTCCAGGCCCTGCATCAGACGCGCCGCTGGTGTAGTGGTATCATGCAAGATTCCCATTCTTGCGACCCGGGTTCGATTCCCGGGCGGCGCACTCGTTTTTTGTTTCCCAACAAAGTAACAATTTACCGTGTAAGTTTAAAAGAAATATTAAACTTTAGATCTAAAACGTAAATGACACAAAAAAATAATTCCCGCATGATAACAATTTGTATCTTAAAACCTTTGCAAACACCTTCCTTCCCTTTGAAGTTTCCATTTTAATCGGCTGAGCAGAGAAGCACGCAAAATATTTGCGCAAAGCCGGTAATAACATTTTATTTGCGAAGTCTTTGCCGAACAGACGTGGGCGCACACCGTGGCACGCGAGAAGGAGCGCTTGTTTTTTTTCTTCTATATTTTAACACGCAACCGGGTTGACGCTGCTGACGCCGCTCCTCCGCCATCTTCAACTTCCTATTGTTTGCATCAGAGTCAGGCTGTCTGTGGTGTGAGTGAGAACAGAATCGGCCACGGACTTAGCACTGAATAGTAGATATAGTTTTTACGTTCACGGTCGCTCAAGTTCAGTGCAAACCATTTGTATGTCATTGGACTAAAGACCTGTGCGGACGTGACCACTAAATCTTAACGATGGAGGACGATCAACCCAGAACCTTGTGAGTACCGCTGGGCCCGTCTAAGCCCAGGAACGCGTAGGCTTCGTCTACTTACTGTGCGTCCGAAATGTTTCCACGTTGTTTGAATTAAAAGCTATTAATCCTTTTCACTTAGACTACCGAAATTGCCTAATTTTAATCACGGTTTAACGTGGAAATCCGTAACTCATGTTAGTGCAAAATAACTCTACATTTCGACGCGAACATAAACATTTTTGTTTGATTTAGCTGTACAAATGACGGAACCGTAACTCGCTTGAAAATGAAACTGGGCAGCTAGCTTGTACCAGCTACCGCTAGCTAAACATGCGAAATGTACCACGCCGCTACGTTTGGTTTCCCTAATATTTCACAAACATTCACAATAGATGTGGTCCGTATTCAACAACGGGTACGTTGACCTTAAACTAGACAGCCTTATTTTGCAATGGCTCGTACACCACCAGCCCCTTAGCCATAGGCCCGTTTCAGCCGGCTAGCTGTGTCTTCAGCTAGCTAGCAAACGAGCCACGTCAACGCTCGGAGTCACTGCTCTGGACACGTCTGGTAATGGGGGGACGGTGCCCCAGCTAATTTTACACAGCGCAAACCATTGCCTCGTCGGGCAAAATCGCGTTTCGCTCCAAAATTTAGGTTTATACAATGAATTGTTGTGGTCCTTGCTAGCCCGGCGTACTAGCCTTTGTTTGCACGCTACTTCCTGTTTCACAAAGGCTCAATTCGCCCATCTCGCCCTTTGCTTGCAGGTACGTGGGAAATCTGTCCAGGGATGTCACAGAGCCTCTAATTCTGCAGGTCTTCACGCAAATAGGACCCTGCAAGAGCTGTAAAATGATTGTCGATGTGAGTGGTGTTTATGTTTCGCGTGTGTAAGCCTAAAGAAGTGGCTGTAATGCTCACAATTGATGTATTTTGCTGCTATAAATGAGGCGCCCAAGGCGTCTTTGGACATTTTGCATTGTTGTTTGATATCAAACTTGTGTTTTTTCTCCCATTTATAGACAGCTGGAAATGATCCATACTGCTTTGTGGAATTCTATGACCACAGGCATGCTGCTGCCTCACTGGCAGCCATGAATGGAAGGAAAATAATGGGTAAGGTAAGCTATCGTATCTACAGGGTGAGTGGGGATGGGAGGGTTTTGGATTGGACATTTAGGCTGTGCTTTCTATAACCAAACAGGAAACTACCAGCCCATGTTATTTTGGAGGTTGCGTTAGGTTGACAGAATATGCTAAATAGCCAGAAAAGCTTGTTGATCCAGAGACTAAATTAAACCGGACACAGTTATGTATTCATTTCTGCGTCAAAGCTGTTTCTTTTATGGCCTCTTTAGATGAAAGGAGCTGAATTATGTTCATTTTTCTGTTGTAATTTTCTGGCTGGAATGTTTTTAAAAGACACAGTTGGAGAAGAGATATAAAAGACCCGACTGTAGCTCCAAAGAGGTCTAAACATAGCCTGAGAAGAAGGCTATAACAGCAGGTTATTTAGAACAGGGGAGAAAAACCATTAACATTTTAATCTAAAATGTTAAGACCACAGGGCCTTATAAGAGGATATAAAAGGCACCATAATGACTTTGCTTTTTGCACATAAAACAAGAACTCAGATGATTTTGACACTGAATTAGGACAGCTATGCCTTTCATATTTTACTCTTACCACTTATATTTCCTGTTTTTGATTCTTGGCTGTGCTTTGATTTTATTTTTTTCCCCTCATATTCCATGTTAAAGATATGTTAAAGTATAAGAGAACTTGTATTTCTCTTTTTGAAATGCATAAAAACAAGTGAGTTCTGAAGCACATTACGTTAAATTTAAACTATTTGTCAAGTTATCTTAGCTTTTAGAGGTTCTCTTTACATGAGCCCTTACATTATTCACCCTCTACAGTGCAGGTTTGACTTAATGATGTAAACATACCCCACCTGTCCGTTTTTTTTCTCTCTGCAGGAAGTCAAAGTCAACTGGGCCACGACGCCAACCAGCCAGAAAAAAGACACGAGTAGTAAGTGCCCATCCCTGAGAAAATGTTCTCATATTTGTAATACAGAAAATTTGACTTATTGGGAAAGAGGAGGTTGCAAACCTTCTAACCAGCGTAATTTGCCAGTTCTCATTTTCTCGGCCTGATTGCGTATTCTAACTCATGACTGGTGTAAACATCCGTCTTTGCATTTTCAGATCACTTTCATGTCTTTGTTGGAGACCTCAGTCCAGAAATCACCACAGAAGATGTCAAAGCCGCCTTTGGTCCCTTTGGCAGAATATCGTAAGTTTGGAGCTAACAGTGATGGGCTAGATTTTCCCAAAAATGATCAGTCAGGCTGTGTGATTGAAGCAGTCGGCCCATATCAGCCACACGATGGGCGATTATTTTAACTAAGTGGAGATGAGCTACTCCATGTCTTGATCGACTGAACAAGAGTTACTGTGAATGGAATTTTTACCCCCGAAGAGGCAGCGGCTGTTTTTCCAGAATGTTTCGGTTTAGCTTTTGCAGCCCGTTTACAATGCAGACTTTCTGTCTTTTTTAACTCTTAAATGAACAGCAGCCGAAGGGCCTCCAAAGGCTTTTAGAGCAGAATGTTCCGGTCTTGTTACTCGCCGTTAGCCTGATTAGGTTACCGCTAAATGTGGAGGAAACTGAATTTTGACGAGTGGAAATCTGCTCGGAGTGCTTCCAGTCTGCACCCGGATGCTTTCCAAAAGCAGATTTTCTCCTTTGATGGGTGAAGGAGGGGGTCTAAATATGGCTACTTCTCTATCCAAAAATACCAAGATGGCAGCAGCCAAATTTGGAACTAAAAGTTGCGCAAAAGCTGCCCACAAGCCTCCAAACGATGTGCATCGGGCTCATATAGCTCCCATTTTTAGCATGCCAGCCTTCTCTTTACTCAGTATTTACATGGAAACGATCATTCAAGCACACAGTCACACAGCTAGTTCTTGTACAGGACTGTGAGATGTGGCTCTTCCATTAAAAACGAGCAGCCGTCCTTTTTGTGCTTCAAATAAAGGCAGTTGTGGATGTTTGTGTGGTGCTGAAGTTGGTGTTTTTGGTCCACAGAGATGCCCGGGTCGTGAAAGACATGGCCACAGGGAAATCTAAAGGCTATGGCTTTGTGTCTTTCTTCAACAAATGGGTGAGTAAGCACCGGCTGTTGCCGCTGTTTTCTGATCTGGCCGTCGGGTCGTGTTTTGGGCCGCGTTTTTAGACCGGCAACCGCCGCTTTTTCTCCATTCCAGGATGCCGAGAACGCCATCCAGCACATGGGGGGTCAGTGGTTAGGAGGCAGACAGATTCGAACCAACTGGGCCACGAGAAAGCCCCCCGCCCCGAAGACCACCTATGAAAGTGGGTGTTGTCAATGAGCAGACTTAGCCTGCCGGCAGTGCGGACTTTAGCGCGTTAACGGTGTTTTGTTTATTTTCCCACCTTTTCCCTGCCAGATAACTCCAAGCACCTGTCCTTTGACGACGTGATGAGCCAGTCCAGCCCCAGCAACTGCACCGTGTACTGCGGCGGCGTCAGCACAGGACTCACAGGTACGGCCGCCCGCCTCGGACCGTCCGCGGGGGCCGCGGGGGCCGCGGGCTCATCCCAAAGGGTCCAAAGTGACCCGTCAGAACTTAAGGCATTGTCTTTTTTTATTTTTTTTATTTATTTTTTTTTTTAAAGGCAAGGTTTTTCAGCTTCTTCCATTGTTCTGTAAAAGGAAGGATAAAGTGGAAAAACAGCAGATCCATCAGTCTGAGAACCGGTTTCTCATTTAACGCCTGTGAACTCATCCCTGTGAGCACATGGTGCTTCTTGCTTTCTGTCACAGGCGTTATTCTCTCCTTTTGTTGCATCTGTCCATCTGAGCCAATTAACGAGGGTTTGACACTACAAACCTGATTCCGGTCCCAATTGACCGACAGGCCAGAATATGTTCTTCTCACTTTGGAAGGTTTAGGTTAACGGGGAGTGTATCGCCCCTCTTTATCTGCGCTCGCTTTAAAGGTTGAGCAGCAGCACACTTCCTGTTCAGAGCAGTCAGCTGGAAGTCCTGCTGGCGTTTCCACAATGACCCCGAATGTTTCTGCTAGTCGCTGAACGCTTTTATCTTCACCGCGTGTTTTGACTCTCAAATCGGCCTGCCCTCCTGGGCCGCTGAAAACCCGCTAAGGCCTGCGCCGCACACTTTACCAGCGTGCTCTATTCTCTTTCTGCAGAGCAACTGATGAGACAGACCTTCTCCCCGTTTGGACAGATCATGGAGGTCCGAGTTTTTCCAGACAAAGGCTACTCGTTTGTGAGGTACCCCCCCTTCAGAGCTCACCACTCAGCTGCACGACTCAGGAGCGGGTTTTTCTGCTCCTGAGTCGTTCCAGTTTTTCTGTGTAGACTTTTTTGGTGGTCAGGACGCAGGCATCAGGTCTCTAATTTCCTAATCTCCGTGAATTTGCGCCCAGGTTTAATTCCCACGAGTCGGCGGCGCACGCCATCGTCTCCGTGAACGGCTCCTCAATAGAAGGCCACGTGGTGAAATGCTACTGGGGAAAAGAGACCCCCGACATGATGAACTCCATGCAGCAGATGTCCATGCCCCAGGTAAACCCCCCCCCCTCACACCCCCCTCCTCAGGGAGAAGCTTGATTTACAGACCTATAAATCATTATGGGCAGAAATGTCCACCTCCAACAAAGTCACTGCAAGCTGCTCCACTCTGCTAAAATCCACCAAACATGAAACCCTTTTTAAGATTTAAACCTTTAAATTCCTGTTTGGTTACGTGGTGGTCCTGTTGTTTGTTTAACAGATGACTAATTTTGTGTGGTTCAGGGGATTATGAAAAAAAAAAGGTCCTGATTTAGACTTTACTGTCGTTAAACTAACAAATGTCTACTTTCAATAATATAAATCAGTTTATTTTCTGTTCCAGCTTTTAATCCACTTCAGTCCTGATCAGAGAATATGACACATGAAAAAATTGTCTGGATTTCAGCTCTTTGTTCATGAATATTAGAAGTTAGCATTTTTGTCCCATGCGATTTAAGAGCTTGGTATTTATTTATGTTCGATAAAAAGCGCCGCGTCAGCAGTCTCTGAGGAGAGACGTGTTGCTCCGCGCTTCTGACCTCACTGCGCTCTGCGTGCGCTTCGTCCCCGCAGCAGCAGCAGAACAAGATCGGCTTCGCGGCGGCCCCGCCGTACGGCCAGTGGGGCCAGTGGTACGGCAACGGCGCCCAGATCGGCCAGTACGTCCCCAACGGGTGGCAGGTGCCCACCTACGGCGTCTACAGCCAGGCCTGGAACCAGCAGGGCTTCAAGTAAGTAGCGCTCAGGGGCCCCCCCTCCACCCCCCATCACCCCCTCCTGCTCCACCACCCCCACACACACCCCATCACGGCCGGGGCAGCGTGAGCCACCAGATGGAGCTGTAGCCCCCCCCCCTCCAGGAGAAAAGAAGCGATTCGAACTGAGATTCTGTCTGTTTTCGGCTCGCCGCGAGCGCCACGATGGGGCCCCCCCCCGTTTCCAAATGCTCCCCCCGCCGACAGGCCCCTCGGCGAGCCTTTTTTTTTTTTTTTGATGTAGAAAGTTTCCCCAGCCTGAAGATGACTGACTGAACACTGCAAACGCTGCCCGGGGACAGCCGGAGTCGGGACTGTGTGCTCTGTGCGTGCTCGGCGTCCTCCTCCTCTTCTGTCATTTCACATGCCCTCGTTTGCTGGCGAGGTCCGTCCAGCAGGACTTTGCGGCTCCCAGATGAGCAGAGGAATGAGGGGAGAGGCCTCCCGAGGCCGGGAAGCCGTTCATTTAACCCGCCGCTTCATTTAGCTCGCTGTGCTTAGCGCCTGTTTCTGCTTGTGCACCCATTTATAACCAAATGACCCCTCCTTTGGTCCCTTTGTAGAACCCTCAACCTTCCCTTTTCCCTTTATTTTTGCGAGCTTGATTTATGATTTATTTTTTTTAGTTTTTAACCCAGCCTTCTTCATCCTCACTACCTGAGACCACTGTTTGCCATCTCGTTCTCGCTCCAGCTTGTCCAGATTCTCGTAACTCCTAATAAAACAAACAGCATCTTTTTTGGCTCCCTCTCGCCTCGTCTGTTTCTAACCTGCTGGCGTTTTGTCTCTCTGTCTCTCTCCCCTCTCTTTCCCTCATCTTTTGCAGTCACTTACCGGCCAGTGCTGGGTGGACTGGCATGGGCGCCATCAGTAACGGTGGGGTTATGGAGCCCACACAGGGATTGAATGGGAGTATGCTAGCCAACCAGCCGGGGATGGGAGCCGCAGGATACCCCACACACTGATCAGTGGGCAGGGTGGGAGATTGTCAGCGGTCGCTAGATGGCGGCGCGTTGCCCCGCTGGGCTGTTTAACACCGCCTCCGTTTGTGGCAGGACTTAAGACTTTTTTTCCGAGATGTGGAACCTGAAGGGAAGGTTGACATCTGTGAAATGTAAATGGAATTTCAATGGGGGAGTTGAGGGAACGGGAGCCAGTGATTTAACCCACACAGGTATCCACACACCTTTTGTGGTTGGCAAGACTGGCCATGACCCAGGGCTCTTACCGTTTTTAAGTTAACTGTAAATGAGTATAAAACTGTAAAGGAGAAACTTGGATTTTTTTTCTTTTTTCTTTTTTTTTCTTCTTGTCTCCGGGTTTTACAATTTGCTTCCATTTTCACATCGTTCTTCTCCGACGGCCACAGAGAGGGTCCTGTTTTTTTTCTTTTTTTTTTTCGTCCTTTAGAGAAACTGTTGAAATCCGAGTGGCTCCAGGCAGTGAACTCGACTTTATTATTTGAGGAATGGAAACCTGTTAAATATTTTTCTAATTTTCTCTCTTGGATTTAAATCAATCGCAGGGATCGTTGCCACTGCTTTCTCTCTGTAAGGGCGGATGAATATTGCACAGTTTTTTCCTCTCTTGTACTTCCTCAACCAATTTGACTACCGAGAGTGTTTCCTTTTTGCATTCCACCTCTCCTTCGCATCTTTCTGACAGCCTCAAACCCTTTTGCCACCTGTAAATAACCATCCATTCATCCATTTATTTGAAACGATGTAAGTAAAATGCTACTGTTTACTGTGGGTGCTTGCTTTCAGTTTTTTTTTTTTTTTTTTTTTCAGTTTTGTTTTTGTTTCGATGATTCGACAGCCGACTCCGACATTGTGCGTAGCAGAGTGGCGCCATCACCCAAGAGGCAGGGATAATAATAATAAATAAAAAAACCGGCATTGCCATGCAGTGCACACTTAAATTTGACACAGTTTAAATATTAAAGGGTGAACGTGTATGTTTGAAAATTGATGTTTTTTAAAAATATCTATTGAAACGCCAGTATTTTATAACAAATCTGAGTGGGTTCAACCTTTACACTTGCTCTTTTTGCCAGAGAAATGCGGAGGCCTACATTGTAACTGTTGCCTTACAGAGCTGGTTTCTTTTAGCTGACAAGATCCTCTTTTTAATTAGGCAGTGCCTACTGACATTTTCAACTCCTTTTGTTTAGAAAGGTGTTAGCCCTGAGAACTGATGACTCTGCTACTGTAATCAATGTTTTCTTGCTTTGTCCAATTAAAATGCTAATGCACATATACAACACTGTTTGCTTTTTTTATTTCCTTATGGAGATCTTTTTTCTATTTTTGTAGTAAACTAGCTTAAACCGTTTAGATTTTCTTCTCTGAATAATTCAATGTTTCTTTGGTTATTTATATCTTAAGTGGCTGCCGATTTATGGTTTAAAAGCTATGCTAAAGACGTCAATGTTGATTTTAAAGGAACAATTATTGCTGCCCATCAATCTGGAGAAGATCCTAAGGTAATTTCCAAACTATCTGGAGCCCATAAAGTGGAAAACATTCAGGCCGGCTCTCAATCTGCCAAGGAGTGGACGTCGCAGCAAGGTCATGCTAAGGTCACGCTGAGGTCAAACATCCAACGGCTTCATCTCAGAAACCTACAGGCCTCGGTTAGCTTTAAAAAAGTTTATTTGGGCTGCGGGAGAACGCCTCTTCTCAGAGCAGCTTTCAGCACGGTGGGGGAGGGATGATGAACTGGGCTGCTTCTGCAGCATCAGGACCTTAAAGTCCACCAGGAACTCCTTTGGATCCCAAAGTGTTCAGAGTCAGATGTGAGGCCGTGTGTCCCACAGCAAAGCTGGAACCGGCTGACCAACAGGACAAAGATCCAAACACAGCAGCAGATCTGCAGCAGGAAGTCTAAAAAAAGAGGAGAATCAAGGAGATGAAGGTCCATCAGAGTCCAGAGCTCAGCCTGATGGGTTCTGTGGGGGGGGGGCTGCAGAGAGTAATATTGAGCAAAAACAATTTGTAGAGCCAGAATGAAGTAGATTACCTACAAGAGGTTGGATTGAGGAGGCCTGCAGCAGCCCTGTTAACATAAAAAGACGATCATAGCTGGCATATGTTGAAATAAAAAGAATAGTAACTGCTCATGGGTCGCTCAGTAGGCCGATGCCTCGGACCGCCTCTGCCAATCTTCAGTTTTACAAACGAAACCAGAGCTTTGTATATCTTTACTCAGAAACTTCCTGATTAAATAATATTAAATGAGATTAGTTGAGTGTTTCCTGGCATGCTGAGCCCGTGCTGTGCAGGCCGGTGTGTGCACTAGATGGCGCTCTCACTCCAGATATCCAGCACTTTTTCCAGTTCCTCGGCATCTGTGCTCTCACGTTCCAAGTCGTTGCAGGAAGTGTCAACCAACCGGTCGGGATGGGAAAACACCGGGGCTCAGACAGTAGAGTCTACTCTCCTGTTTGAAGATTTTTTTTTTCCAGCTGTGGGTACATCTGCTGTCCTTGGTGTAAACTTCACTGAGGTTCAGTTGCCGAAAAGAAGACAGATAAACAAGAAAACTACAAAACTGTGATGAAACTGATGGACGAGAGATGTCAAGGTGATTTATTGAGCAGATTACAGCTGAAATCAATCAAAGGAGCCGTTGGCTTTCCCTTTTTGTCTGTCTTGGTCATCTTTTTTCCCCCCATTGCTCGCAGAGCTATAACAAACAAAAAAAAAAAAAGAAGAAAAAAAGGAAGGATTCTGTTCTTTTTCCTAAAATGCATTGAAATGTTTTTTAAAAAAGGGACAGACCTGTCCTGGTCTCTGAATGATGGGAATTCAGCCTGGATGAGAATACATGAAATAACTCTAGCCAGCTGGTAGAAGACATTTAGCAGCAGTAAACTGAGGTATTTGTTCTCTGGATGATGTTAGAAACTGTTCTTTTTTCCATTGTAGCATCAGCTCCATCAGCATCCATCAGGCTGAGCTCTGGACTCTGATGGACCTTCAGCTCCTTGATTCTCCTCTTTTTTTCAGACTCTCTGCTGCAGATCTGCTGCTGTGTTTGGATCTTTGTCCTGTTGGTGAGCCGGTTCCAGCTTTAGCTGTGGGACAGACGGCCTCACATCGGACTCTGAACACTTTGGGATCCAGAGGAGTTCCTGGTGGACTCAATGACCGTTACAATGCTATTCAGGTATAGGACATTTAAAGTGGAACAAGACTTTATAGGTCCAGTTTTTCCACCAAACGGGACCTTCTTTCCTAACCATAATAATAATCTTTTCCTTCCTTTAAATTGACATATGAAGTTTTCAGTGTTAGCTCACATTAAAAAGTCTGTGTTTCAGAAAAGTGGTTAGAAATATTTGATAACAAACAAGAAAGAGATGCAACTGGCTTGGGACTCTTGTTTGGGTATTGATTTACAGATCAGGGCTCTTTAGGACAGAAAAAATCCCTGATCATCATCCCTCCCCCACCGTGCTGACAGCTGTTTGCTTTCTGTGCATTCTGAGCAAACATCCCCACTTTGCTGTCTTCTTTATTCAGATGCAGCTTTGCACACAAGAGCCCTGCTGCCATGTTCTTTTTTTAAACAAACAACCGTACCTGTTCACTCTTGTTCTAACTGGTCTGTCATGACCTTTGACCCTTAACCTGCTAACTGAGGCTTGCAGAGTCTAACATTTAGCTCTTGGATGTTTGACCTTGGGGCGACCTTGCTGGGATGTCCACTCCTGGGCAGATTGACAGATATCCAAGATGTTTTCCACTTTTTCTCAGTAGAACGATGGATTGCAGATAGTTAGAAACGACTTTATAACCCCTCATTGTGCTCACACACACCTGAGGGCTCCAGAGCAGCAAACTGACCAAACGTCTGCTGCTCCCACTTTTCACCTGCATTAATACCCACGTTTTTGACAACAATTAAACATAAAGGATTGATATGTTGTGACCTTCTGAAAAAAAAGTCAGCTCTGCTTGAGTTTGACAGCAACAACAAATCTAAGAAATATTTGAGACATTAGTAACATAAAGCTGAAAGAGTTAGAGGTACTGTAAAGACACATGCTGTAATTTATTGTGTTGATCTAATTAAAAAAGGCATAAAAAGCACCATAGAGAAGCAGAGTCCCTCCAAAATTAATTTATAGAGGTTCAGCAATCTACAATGCAACATGACTAATAATAGTCATAATATTAGTATTCAAAACCATTCAAAATTGAAACACACCCGAGAAACGAAGCCAGGTCATCACAAACACTCAACCCGGGGCCAATTTGGAGTTATGAATTCCCCAAACATGCATGTTTTTTTGTACTTTAGCTTGCAGAGAACCCACACATCCACAGGGAGACAATGCAAACTCATTTCTTAAGAACACATCCTTGAATTGAATGCCCTCCGGCAGCTCTTTTTTAAAAACAAATCCGATTTTGTCCTGGAAACATCTACACGGTGTCAGGTACATTTCCGGGAGTCATTCACTGTGAACACAGCTGAAATGTGACGATTGGAGCTCCACCGGGCAGAGAAGAAGCCTGAAGCTGTCAACAAAAATGGAGCACAGGTGATCAAAATGTGAACTTCTCAATGGAGATCATGTATGTCGGGTCCTCTGGACAAAAGATGAAATGGAAGAGTAGAAGAAGAGTGCAGATGCTGGACTGGCCTGACTGCAATCCAGATGTTTTACCAACCATAACTGGGTGACACATAAACAATTAGAAAGGAGACCCAGCACTGTGGATGGAGTCCTCTCCGAAAGGTCCAGCAGCTGGTCTCTGTTCCAGATGTTTACCGACTGTGGTTAGCAGAGGAGAGGAGGCCTCATAAAGGTAAACATGGACCCCTCAACAAATTCAGGATGAGTTGTGAAGTGCCTTGCTTTAAACATCTGGTAGAATTTCTCTGTTCTGGAGAAGCATTTGCTTTTGTTCTCTGCAAATCTTGAGCCAAATTTTTTTTGGGAGTTGCTTTTGCA